GAAATTCCCAGGACCCGCCTGCGCAATGCCTGCTTGATCTCTGTTCAAGGGAGAGCCCAGGGCTGGGCCCATGCCCAGCGCTTCTTGTGCAGGGGACTTTCCAGCGTCTCTCAGCAACTCCCGGGGAGGCTGGTGCTGCCCACCCAGGGCCCCATCTCGAGAATCGCTGATCTAAGCTTACACAGTTTCCCGGGGGAACAATTGTCTCTAAAATAGCCAGAAGATCTGGAGCGGGAGCCAGATTACTGGGCGTCCTGCCTGACGATGCCTGTCTTACTCTCTGGGGAGCCACACCAGCTCGTTTGCAGGTGGCCTCAGGCACCCTGGCTGCTAGCTGGGGGCAGGTTCCTCCCTGGAGCATTCAGTGCATGGCTCCCTCTGAGGTGGGGTCTTCTCAGGGGCTGGCCAGGCCATCGAGTAGCCTCTGTGACTGTCTCCATTCCCATGTGTTGCTGGTTTTGCTGAGTGCCTGGGGCTTGGGTCCTAGCCAAGTCCCCAGAGAATGGTGTCACCATTAGAACCAGAGGAACCCTGGCACCCAGCAACCCATCTTTGCCCAATTTATTTCCTTACTGCCCAATGCTAAAATGTTCTGTTAAAAGACACATGTGTGCCTGGACCCTACCGTTGCTTCTTTCTGCAGGGTGGGGACTGCTGAATTTCACCCTCTGCTCTTGCAAATTAGGTCACTAAAGACAGAGTGAAGTTGTGCTAACGGTAGATGCTTATTGGTGCTGATGAAAACATCCTGGCAGGAACGAATGTGGATTTCATTGATTTCTCCGCGCTTTGGGGTTTGGTTTGAACTCGAAGGCCTTCCTTGAGTGAACTCTTGTAAAAGCTGTAATTAACTCTTGCCGGTGTCAATGTGCTTATTGCCTTCCACAGCCCACAGCCTCCCCTGCTGTCTAATTACTCACGCTCCTCGGCTGCCAGGACAGAGGCTGGCTCGGTGCTCTGCCGCAGGGTGGGTTAGGTTGCTGTATGTGTTCTGGCTAGAGGGCAGTTCGTCCCCATCAGAAATGATGATGGCCACTTTTCCATGGGGGTCACCCAAGGTCGCAGTCAGAACTTACTGCATCAGAAACAAAGGGCTGAGCTTGGAAACAAGACCTTTCCCATCAAGGGCATGCATAGAAGGGCATGAAGACTCTTGCTCGGGTCTAGACCATGGCTTGTAAGTGTCAGGGTGGGGATCACGGATATTGCTCTACAGAAGTCAGGCAAGGGGCTTGTCTGAGGCCCCAGGTGGGCACAGCACTGCTGACCCCTGCAGTTTGCTGGGCTGGGGTAAACAGCTGCCCAGCCTCCTGGGGAAGGAGCAGGAATTAAGCTTTTCCATTTTGTGTCTTAGAGCTGTCAAGGGGATTAGACGTCAGCAGTGTGCGGCTCCTCCAGAGGTCACCTGCCCACATTTCTGCATCCCTGCCCATGGGACCAGGAGGGCCGGGAGGCAGCCAGCCCCAACCAGGGAGGGGCAGGGCAAGTGGGTCAGCAGTTCAGAATCAGTGGGATGGGTGAGGCAGTGGCTGAGCTGTGGGCAACAGTGAGCCCCTTTCCTGGCCTCGCCAACTACCCTCGTCCTGCTGCCTGGAGTGGTCCTCCCAGTAAACTGCCCACACCAAGCCCTTTCTCCCAGTCTGCTTTGGGGAAGCCCAAAAAAGACAAAGGTGTCAGAGGTGGGTGGTGTGGGGGAAGGCCAGAGCATGGAGGGGTGTCTGAGGAGGAGGACATGGAGAAAAGGAGAAGAAATAATGAGAAATTCATTTGAAATACACACTTGTATACATCATATCCCAAACTCAGGTCATAAACCCCAGCACTCTTGGGCCAGGAGGTCCCAGGCAGGTAGAACAGACACTGCCCCGAGGCACAGGACTGAGGTCCTTCATGGCTGAGGGGTTGAGTTCTGGTGGGTGGAGGCACCTCAGACTGTCTTGACTTCCCTGTGACCCCAAATCCAAATAAATCCGGTGTTGATCTTTGAGGCTGGTGTCTTAGTCTGTTTTCAACTGGACACCTGAGACTGGGCAATTTGTATAAAAAGAGAAGTTTATGTAGCTAATGGTTTTGGAGGCTGCCGCTCCAGGGACATGGCAGCAGCTGCTGGCATGGGCAGGCGGCGTCCCAGGGCGGGGGGTGCACTGAGAGCCAAGTCGGTTTTTCTAACCGACTCCCTCAATAACCCATTAATCCATTAATCAGTCAAGGAGGGGATTAATCGATTCCTGAGAGCAGGACGCTTGCAACCCAGCCACCTCCCAAAGTTCCCATCTCTCAGCACTGTTGCTTTGGGGACCAAATGAACTTTTTTTCTTTTAAGTTACTTAATTTTAAATTTTATTTAAATTCAGTGAATTTCTGTTTCCCAGGGAGACAGCTCTGAGGTCTGGCGGGGAGAGGTCTCCCTGCTGTGATGATCTGCCAGCACACTGGGCAGCCCTCCGCATGCTGGGGGGCCCGGCGGAGTGGGCCTGCCTTCTCTCCCCTGGCTTGGGGAGATGTTTTCAGCACAGCTAGGGTGGGGAGACCCCCAACACCCCTGTGTCCAGCAGCACCCTGGGGAGGGACTCAGGCCAGGGGAAGGAAAATAGGTGTGGAAGCCTCCAGGACACTGCCCCTCTGAGGGTCCTCTGGCCTAGGCCAGCTCCCCCAGCCTCCACTGAGGAGGCAGAGGACGAGGGAGAGGACTCGGGCCTCATCCTCTGCCTCATGCTGTCCGTGAGGAGAAAGAGGCTTAGGGAGAAAGGCCAATGGGCTTTGGAGCCAGCCATGTCTGGATCCAGGACCCCTTATTTTCTAACGAGACACTGGGGTGACACTGGCAGCATTTGGAACCCCTCTGAGCCTCACTGTTCCCACCTGTAGACAAGAATTACAGAGTCACTGATGGGGCCAGTAAAGGGAGACTTCAGCAAATAGGAGAGCAGCAGGGTTTCACCCCAGGAGCACGGGTTTCAGAGTCCAGCTGTGCACCAAGCCCAGCGTCTTCAAAGGAAGGAGTCCTGGAGTCCCAGGAGATCACCCGCTCCGGCTTTCCTGAACTGTCAGCCCTGTCTCTGCTTTCACACTCATCACATGTAATTGGGTTAAGAGTGCACCTGACTTCCCTTAACACTGGGCCGTTTTCACAATTGCACCCTTAGCCTCCCCAGCACTTCGGTGGCCTCCCTCCTGCTAACCCACTGTAAAGTTCCAGACTGTCTAGGTCCTAACCCAGCACTTTCTTTTTGAGATTTTTTTTTCCTCCCTGTTCATAACGTTCAGGGCAGATGCTGGCTCCAGGGAAGAGAGACCAGCCACTCCACCAGGATCACAAACCTAACCGAGGTTCTTGTCCTCTAAAACTGATAGTGACTTTAAAATTATGAAATGTCTCAAAGGTACGGAAAAGCACCACGGTTCTATCGCTGTACACCTGTCACTCAGATTTAGCCAGTGCTCATGATTTATCCTCTTTGCTTCAGATTAACTTTATTTTTTAAATAAACAAACATCATAGGCACAGTTGAAAGCCATTGCTGCATATCCCTAACTAGAGTCCCCTTCCTCCTTCCCAAGTCGGCATGTTTTAGTAATATTATTGCACGTGTATGTGGCCATGAGCAATGCGCTTTTTAGAGAGTTCTCTAGGGCATTGCTGCAGAAAAGCAGCTCTTGCGGACTTTCTAGCTGAGGCAGAGGATCTTCTTCTTGGGTGTACCAGTTACTTTCCCTATGAACAAGGAGTTCCCCTACCTCCATGTCCTAGTCTGGTCTTTTAGCATTTTCAGATTTAAAGTTTTCATTTTTGTATTTTTTTTTTTTTAGTAGAGATGGGGTTTCACTATGTTGGCCATGATGGTCTCAAACTCCTGACCTTGTGATCCGCCCCCCTCAGCCTCCCAAAGTGCTGGGATTATAGGCGGGAGCCACCACACCCAGCCTAAAGTTTTCACTTTCTTCCCGAGTCTGCTTGCTGTGAAATTGTAATTCTTGATGGTTATATTTTGAATTATCTGATTAGAAATGAAGTTAAGCACCTTTTCATCTGTTTAATGACCATTTGGGGTTTGTCTTCAGTGAAATGCAAATCTGTGTTTTCCTAGCAGATTGTTTATACTTTTTATATTTTAAAGGAGATCTGCGGATATTGTGGATTCAAGATCTCTTTTAAAAAATGAATCTTGCGAATCTTCTCCTAGCTTGTGACTTATCCTTCCGATCTCTGTAGATTGGTGTCTGTTGAACAGTTTCAGATAACAACAAACGTACCAGTATGGAAGCCCATGTCTTGTTGAATGAACCGAGTCCCGACGCTATTTTCTTGGGTTAGCTCTTAAAGTCTTCACGATGCTACGTGCGCATTTAGTCTCCATCCATCTGGAGTCGGTTGCGTGTGTGGCAGAGGTGGAGACCATTTCCACTCTTCCGTGGCGCTCACCCATGTCCCTGTCACTGGTCTGAAGCTCTGCCTTGCCTTGCACGAGGTCGCGTGCACTCGGGTCTGTTTCTGGACTCTGTTCTGTTCTGTTGTTGCTCTTTGTCCCTGTGCGAATGATGTGACCTTATATTGAGTTGTAGGGCGAGTCTCAGATAGGGCGGGTCTCCCCTGGGCTTTCCCTCTCAGGTGTCTTGGCTTTGCTAAGGCCTTTGGCCCTCCACGTGCATTTTAGAACCAATGTGTCAGTTTCCAAAAATCTTCTGGAGATTTTGATGGGATTACATTAAATCAACTGATGGTTGTGGAGGACTAATGTTGTGAGGTCAGGTCTTCCTTCCATAGCTTTTAATTTAACCATTTTCCTATCCATACATATCCTAAAACACCATGTTGTAAATCTCAAACATACACAATAAAATATGTTTCTAAAATATTTAGATCTTTAAAATGTCTCTCAATCACTTTCATGCTTTCCCCCCTCATAAAGTCTCACGTATCTTTTGTTAGACTTATTTTTATGCACCTTTAAAAATTGGTTTAATTAAGTGGTAAACCATTGTAACTGTTATTTTTCAAATTTTCTATGTTTTTCTGGTCTATAAAAATACAGTTGAGTTTTGAATATGATCTCGTTATCTAGGGATCTTGCTAAATTTGAATTCTAATTTGCCTGTCACTTCTTTTTCCTTGAGTTTTTTATGTAGTCAGTCAAATCAATTGTAAATGACACATTTGTTTCCTCCTTTCCAATTGTTACGTGCTTAGAAAAGAGTTTTCCTTGCCTTCTTTTGCTGGCTAAGCTCCTCCAGTTGATGTTGAATAGAAGCTGTGAGCACAGATGTCTTTGTTATGTTCTGATTTTTAAAGGGGACTGTTTTTAGACATTTTTGCATTGTGTGTGAAGTTTGCTTGGGTCTTTTTGCTCAACTTATTAGGTTGGGCAAGTTTCTTTGTATTCTTAATTTGCTAAGACTTAACAAATGTTTTTTTATCAAAGATACTTTTCCAGTTTTTTTATTGTGAAGAAATATACATGACATAAGAAACATAAGATTTTCCATCTTAACCATTCTTTTTTTTTTTTTTTTGGAAGGGGTCTGTCACTCTGCCACCCAGGATGGAGTACAGTGGGGCAATCTCTGCTCATTGCAACCCCTGCCTCCTGGGCTCAAGTGATTCTTGTGCCTCAGCCACCCAAGTAGCTGGGATTACAGGCACGTGCTACCACGCCAGGCTAATTTTTGCATTTCTAGTAGAGACAGGGTTTCACCATGTTGGCCAGGCTGGTCTCAAACTCCTGGCCTCAAGTGATCAGCTGCTTCAGCCTCTCAGTGCTGGCGTTGCAGGTGTTAACCACCATGTTTGGCCGTTACCATTTTTAGGTGTGTAGTTCAGAGGTATTAGGTACATCCATACCATTGTGCAACCGTCACCACCATCTGTCTCCAGATCTCTTCCATTTGGCAAAACAGAAGCTCTATGCCCACTAAACACTAATTCCTCATTCTACCCCACCCCCTGGCAACAGCATTCCAACTTCCTGCCTCTATGAGTGGGACTAGTGCCTCATACAAGGGAATCCTATGGTATTCGTCGTTCTGGGATTGGTTTCTTTCATTTAGCATAAGCTCCTCAAGACTTGCTTATGTTGTAGCACATGTCAGAAATGCCTTCCTTTGCAAAGGTGAGATTCCATACAGATTCTCTGTGTGCACCAAATTTCACTTACTCTCTCATCCGTCGGTGGACACTTGGATTTCTTCCATGTTTTAGCTTTTGTGAATGGGTGTACGCGTACTTTTTGAGAGTCTTCTTTCACTTCTTTTGACTACATGATCTGAAGTCAGGTTGCTGCATCATGTGGTAGTTCTATGCTTAATCTTCTGAGGAGCCACCTTATTGCTTTCCACGGCGGCTGCCCTGTTACATTCCCATCAACCGTGTACAAGGTTTCGATTGCTCTATGTCCTCAGCAACACATGTTATTTTCGCCTTTCTTTTGGTGGTAGCCATCCCAATATATGTGAGGTGGTATCTCCTTAGGGTTGTGATTTGTATTTCCCTAATAGTGACCGTGAGCATCTTGCCCTCTGCTTACTGGCCATTTTAATGTCTTCTTGAGATAACATCGATTAAAGTTATTTGCCCGTTTTAAAATTGGGTTGTTTTTATCGCTGAGCTTTAGGCGTTCTCTCTGTGTTCTGGATAACAATGCCTTAGCAGATAGATCTAATCTGAAATAATTTCTCCCATTCTGGGGATTGCCTTCCTACTTTGTTGATAGAGTCTTTTAATGCACAAAATCTCAAAATTGTTACGAATTAAAGTCCAATTTGTTGATTTTTTTCCTTTTGTTGCCTGTGCAGTTATTTGTGGATCCTGGATATTAGCCCCTTGTCAGATGGAAGATTGCAAAACTTTTCTCCCATTCTGGTTGCTGGCTCACTCTACTGATAGTTTCTTTTGCTGTGCAGAAGCGCTGAAATTTAATTAGATCCCATTCATCTATTTTGACTTTTGTTGCCATTGCTTTCGGTGTTTTAGTCATGAAGCCCTTGCCTGTGCCTATGCCTATGCCCTGAATGGTATTGCCTAGGTTTTCCTCTAGAGATTTTATGGTGTTAGACCGCATGTTTAAATCTTTAATCAATCTGGAGTTGATTTTTGTATAATGTGTAAAGAAAAAATTCAGTTTCAGCTTTTTTCATATGGCTAACCTGTTTTCCCAGCACCATTTATAAAATAGGGAATCCTTTCCACATTGCTTGTTTTTGTCAGGTTTGTTAAAGATCAGATGGTTGCAGTTGTGTGGCATTATTTCTGAGGTCTTTGTTCTGTTCCGTTGGTCTATATTTCTGTTTTGGTACCAGTACCGTGCTGTTTTAATTATTGTAGCCTTGTAATATAGTTTGAAGTCAGGTAGCGTGGTGCCTCCAGCCTTGTTCTTTTTGATTAGGATTGTCTTGGCTATACAAGCTCTTTTTTGGTTCTATATGAAGTTTAAGGTGTTTTTTTCCAATTTTGTGAAGCAAGTCATTGGTAGCTTGATGTGGATAGCATTGAATCTTTAAATTACTTTGAGCAGTATGGCCATTTTCATACTGATTCTTGCTAACCATGAGCATGGAATGTTTTTCCATCTGTTTGTGTCTTCTCTTATTTCCTTGAGCAGTGGTTTGTAGTTCTCCTTGAAGGGGTCCTTCACATCCCTTGTTAATTATATTCCTAGGTATTTTATTCTCTTTGTAGCAATTGTGATTGTGAATGGGAACTCACTCATGATTTAGTTCTCTGTTTGTCTATTATTGGTGTATAGAAATGCTTGCAATTTTTGTGCAGTGATTTTGTATTCTGAGACTTTGCTGAAGTTGCTTATCAGCTGAAGGAGATTTAGGGCTGAGATGATGGGGTTTTCTAAATATACCATCATGTCATCTGTGAGCAGGGTCTTTTTAGGTTCTCTATATCTTTGTTGATATTTCCATTTGGTTCATAAATTGTTTTCTTCACTTCCTCCACATTTTCCTGCAGTTCTTCGAGCATCTTTAGGACAGTAGTTTTAAAGTATTTGTTCAGTATGTCTACCATCAGTTCTTTTTCAAGGACAGCTTTTGCTGATTATTTTTCCTTTGAATGGGAATAACTTCTTATTTTTTTGTATGCCTTGTAATTTTTTTGTTGAAAACTGGAACTTTAAATATAATAATATGATAACTCTGGAAATCAGTTATTTCCCCTTCCCTAGGACTTGCTGTTTTTTTGTTATTCTTGTTCTTTTTGATTGTTATAAGGCATCTCTGTACCAAGGATCAACCTGAAGTGTAAACTCAAGATCTCCTCAGGTCTTTTCTGAGTCTCTGCCTTTCCCTGGGTATGTTCAGGACTGTCTGTACCTCCCCTTATATGTGGCTGCTTTTAAATGCCTTAGTCTTCAATGCCTAGCTCCTAAGTGGGGAAGAAGAATAAAACCAAGGGTAGGGTGGGAAGGGTGCCAGCCCTTTAAATGCCGTGGAAGTCACTTTGGTCAAATGGGAGGGGCTTACAACAAGGTGGTGAGGGCTCGGGAGTGCCACAGTGGCCACTACCTGCGCCTGCATCTCTGTGATCAGGAGGAACAATCAGAGCACTCATCTCAGATATTTGGAGGACAGGATCTTTTTGTCCACTCTGGCATCCACTAGTTGTGTGCTCCAGGAACATGTGCACAGCTGCCTGTGCTGCTGGGGGCTGGGACTGGTAGTTTGTACTAAGGGTAGCTAAGAGCTAGAATTGACTGAAGCAATGTAAATGTAAATGTAATTGCAATTGAGTGTCCAAAGTTAATGTAACTGCAATTGAATGTCCAAATCTTTCCTTTGAAGATACAGGCCTTCAATAGACCCCAGAGTTCCAAAATAGCAACATCAGAGAGATTCTGCCAGTGCAACTGTCATCTTGGCTGAGGGACAGATTTCTGGTGCTTCCTATTCTATTCTCCTATCTTCCCAGAACCTTTGCTGAGAATTTTTAACTCATGAGGTATTGATTTTTATCAGATGCCTTTTTTTTGCATCTGTTGATAATGTTGGCTTTTTCTTTTATCCATTATGCGGTAAACTACAGCCAACAATTTTAAACCAACGTTGCATTTCTGAGAAAACCCTGCTTTGCCATGCTATCAGTTTTTGTTTTTGTTCTTTGTTTTTTTTTTTCTCAGACAGAGTCTCATTCTGTCACCAGACTGGAGTGAAGTGCTGTGATCTTGGTTCACTGCAACCTCTGCCTCCCAGGTTCAAACCGTTCTCCTTCCTCAGCCTCCTAAGTAACTGGGATTACAGGCGTGTGCCACCACACCCAGCTAATTTTGCATTTTTAGTAGAGATAGGGTTTCATCATGTTGGCCAGGATGGTCTTGATCTCCTGACCTAGTTATCTACCCACGTTGGCCTCCCAAAGTGCTGGGATTACAGGTGTGAGCCCCCGTGCCCGGTCACCATGCTGTCACTTTTTAAGTACTGCATTCAAATTCCTAAAATCTGATTTCACGTTTGTATTTTTGAGTGAGCTTGCGTTGGAAGTCATGTAGGCTCGATACCAGTGTTTTACCATCCTGGTAATGCAAGTGCTTACATGCACTGGAGAAGCTGTGCAATTGTCGAGGACTTTCACCTGATATGCCACCTGACTAGAAAGTGCATGTGACACCATCTGGGCCTGGAGCTTTTTATGTGAAAAGATGTTAACTTTTAATTCAATTTAATTTTAACTGTTATGAGAAAATCTGAGCCATCGTTCTTAGGCAAGCTTTTCAAATGGACTGCAACATACATATGGAAAAATGTCCAGTTAATGAGTTAGCGCTTCAGGAACCTCCACAGTGAGCACACTCATATGGTCGGCATGCAGGTCGGTCCCATTGTAGCCCCTCCTGTCTCCACCTGTGTGTGAGCGTTTTATCAAATGCTTCTCTGAACTTACTGAAATGGTCATGGGTTTTCTCCTTTACTATGTTAATGTGGTGAAATACAAATGATAGATTAACCTTGCATTTCGGGAATAAGCCCAACTTGAACATTCGATTACTCTTCAGATAGACTGCTGAATTTGATTTGCTAATATTTTCTTTACTGTATTTGCATTTATGCTCATGAGAAAGAATGACCTCTAATTTTCCCTTCTCAAAATGTCCTTTTCAGGTTTGGGAAGCAACGTTATGATGGCCCAATGAAATGAGTTGGTGCATCTGTATATTTGTTTCTTTCAATTGCAAGGAGTTGAGCACCCAGACTTCATAGTGACTTAAAAAGCCAAAGAATTATTTCATGTGACAAGTAGAGAGGGAGCTGGTGCCAGGGCTGATTCAGTGGCTCATTGCTGTCATCCAGGGCCCAGGCTCTGTCCATCTTTTCTATCTTCCACTCTGGGTGTGTTGGCCTCTTGTCTTTGGGCTTGCTGCCTCATGCTTGCAAAATGGCTGCCTCAGCTCCAGGTTCTGTTTCCCACACTATCTCCCCCCACTGTCATGTTCAGAGACAAGATCACAGGCAAGCAGCAAATAGATTGCTTGAGAAGAGAGGCGATGGTGGAGAGAGAGAGAGAGAGAGAGAGAGAGAGAGTCAGAGAGAGAGACAGAGACAGAGAGAGACAGAGACAGAGAGAGAGAGAGACAGAGACAGAGACAGAGAGAGAGACAGAGACAGAGAGAGACAGAGAGACAGAGAGAGACAGAGACAGAGAGAGACAGAGAGAGAGAGACAGAGAGAGAAAGATGCATCTTGGCTTCTTTCTTTTTATCACAGAGGAAACATGAGTCCACAGAAGATTTTCCTAATGTCTCATTGGCCAGTACTGGGCTGTATGTCCACATGTGAACCAATCACTTCAAAAGGAATTAGGTTCCTGAGACTGGTCTGAGCCAATTTGTAATGCACCCTCACCCCTTTGGGTTAGGCTGTAGTTGTGTGAACGCTAGTGAGGTTTGCTGGCCAGGAAAAGGAGAAATGCCTGTTGCTACCTTTATTCGTCACACTCATGTCTTAGAAATTTAGCAGGCTGGTAACTAGCAAGCACTGGTCCATGTTTCAGGACCTGATTTATACCTGTGAACTGGGCTCCTCAAAATAGCGAGGAACTTTTCCAGGAGTGGAGATAGGTGATGCTATTTAATTATGTTAGTAAAGTAGAAGTGTGTAAAAACAACTGACCAAGGCCTGTGCCCCTAAGCTGAAGCAGGCTGAAAAACAAGATGTCCCATACCTCTTTTTTTTTTTTTCTTGAGACAGAGTTTTGCTCTTGTGGCTCAGTCTGGAGTGCAATGGCACCATCTTGGCTCACCCCAACCTCCACCTCCCGGGTTCAAGCAATTCTCCTGCCTCAGCCTCCCAAGTAGCTGGGATTATAGGCATGTGCCATCATGCCCGGCTAATTTTGTATTTATAGTAGAGATGGGGTTTCTCCATGTTGGTCAGGCTGGTCTCCATCACCTGACCTCAGGTGATCTGCCCACCTTGGCCTCCCAAAGTGCTGGGATTTCAGGTGTGAGCCACCATGCCTGGCCGATGTCATGAGACTTGGAATGAGCTTACAGCTGCTGTTAAAACTTCAAAAGGGTTAGCTTTATTTTTCACACATTTGTGAACAAGGCTTATCTAGGAAACTGGAGACCACAAATCAGCACATTCCCATGAAGGCGGCCGACACAGAAAGCCCAATCACACTCAGAGCTGACAACCACATCTCTTAAAGGAAGGCCTTGTGCCATTTCCAGAGATTTTGTCTTTTCTCGTCATGATGTTGGCTTTTAATGGGCACCAGGAAACTTAATGCACCGATCCCAAGAAACAGAGAAGCAGAAAGCTTTATCCAGTTAAAGCTAATTTCAGGGGCTTTGGCTCTGAAATAGAATAGAGCAGAGTGTTCTGCCAGGGAACCAGACAACCTGTGTTTAATTCCTAGCCTCATCACATGCAACTGAGATGATCTCAGGCACCCCTGCCCCTCAACCTCCTCAGCAGGGTGGGGGTATGATGCCAGGACTGCTTACCTCGCAGGAAGAAATGACCACTGAACCTGTCAACTCTTGCTGTGTAACCAAGGGCGCTGAGGTCCAGCAGCCAGGCGGGCTGGCTGGGAGTCGCTGATGGAGGTCGGGGGCTCTGCTCCCTCTGACTCCAGTGCTCCAGCAGGTGGGCCCGGAGTGTGCGTATGGTCCTGGCAGAACCACGACAAGGCAAGTGGAAGCATACAAGACCTCCAGGGTTTTGCTTGCGGTTGGTGCACTGTTATTTCTGCCCTCTTCTATTCTATTGGCCAAACCTAGAGGTCAGGGGTAGGGAAATGCCCCCTGCCTCTTAAGTGGGGCAACCACAAAGTGCATGGCAAGGTCCTGGATGTGCAATCTTGCTACTGGAGTAAGGCGGTGCAGTGGATTGAATTAGTGTCCCGATGACTACAGTACCACTCAGTGGACCCTGTGAACAGTTGCGTGGCGTGTTCTGCAGTTGAGAAGTGTCGGCAGATGTCGCCGAGCTTTAGCTCTGATTCAGGTGCTCTGTACTCCGGCCCCTGTGCTGCCTCCTCCTCACTTTATCTGGAGGTGTTTGAGCCCAGTGGCCATCACTGAGGAATCAGGGTGTGGGGCTCGGGGAGTGGAGGTGGCTTTGTCTTGGCACCTGGCTTTGCTGCTTCCACTCTGTGTGGCTTATGGATTCCCAGTGTCATGAAGGCTCAGTTTCCTCAGGCATGGCCCGGGCAGCGGAACCCGTCCAGTTAATGGTTGTTATTGCTGCAGTTCTGTGATACCTGTCCTGGTAGCTCCAGGGCCCGCTGTGGACACGAGTCCTGCATGTGACAGTGACAATTTGATATGCCAGACTGTAGTTGGTGAGGTCTGGGCCAGCCTGTCTTGTCCAGCACTGCACAGGGCCTTCAGAGTGACCCCCAATTTCTGCCCCCCTGCAGGAACTCTCCTGATGAAGAGCCCACAGTGGCTCTTTTCTATCCTATTCTCTCCAGTCTGAATTTCTCATCCGATTTGATGTCTGTGTATACCCAGTGCTACTAATGTCCAGAAGAAAATGTGCACATAAAGAAATGAGGCACTATTCCTCTTTAAGGAATCAGTAAATCAGATATAATGCCTTCAGTAGATTGATAACATAATGAAGCTGACAGTTTGCATATGTACTTTGAATGATAATGCGTACCACTTTTGTGAGGTCTAACATAAAATAGAGCTGGTGAAGAGTGGGTTAGAGAACCTGAGACCAGCTGCTGCCTTCCCTAGTGTGTCCCGTGTGCAGGCTTTGCTGCCCCAGGCAGGCGCAGGGTAGTTGCTGGGTCCCCAGGTCATTGCTGTGTGAACGAGTCTTCAGCCTGGTGCTCAGCTAAGTTCTTATACATGGGGCTGTGGCCAGGAAAGGTGAAAACTGCCTGTTCCCTTATCTGGCACAAAAGAATTGGAATTTTGGAGTTTCTGTTGTGTCTTGTGACTTACAGATGTTAACACCACAAAATGCTAACGTCTCAGCACCAAAGGCCAAGGGCATGAGCTTCTTCAGTGCCTTGTGCCAGGTGGTGGCGACCACTAAGCTTTTGTCTCTTTTTAAACAGTTTTATTGAGATATAATTAATCTACCATACAATTCACTCACTTAAAGTACACAGTTCAATGGCTTTTGGTGTATTATATTATTAATTTGAAAATTTGGTAAAATATACATACAATTTGTCATTTTAACCATTTTTAAGTGTACAGTTCAGTGGCATTAATTACATTCACACACTGCTGTTCATTTCCAAAACTCTTTCAGCACTCCAAATAGAAACTTGGCAGCCATTAACCGGGAGCCCCCCATGCTTCCTGTCTCCAGCCACTGCTGACCACTATTCCACCATCTTTCTGAACTTGCCTATTCTAGGGACGTCATGTGAGTGGAATCATACATTATTTATCACTCTGTCTGGCTTAGTCCGTAACGCTTCTGAGGTTTACTCACATTGTAGGAGGTGTTGCCTCTTCATTTTTTATGGCCGAGTAGCATTTCATCGTGTGTGTGCCGTGTTTCGTTTATTCACGCATCTGTCGATGGCCACTTGAGTTGTTTTCATCTTTTGGCTGTTGTGAATAATGCTGCTATGAACGTGAGCATACAAATAACTCCTCAAAACTTTGCTTTCAATCATTTGACTATATTCCCAGATATGAAATTGCTGGGCCATATGGTGATTCTATGTTTAAGTTTCGAGGCGCCACCACGCTATTGTTCCCAGCAGCAATGCACAAACGTTCCAGTTCCCCACATTCTCACTAGTATTTGTTGTTCTCTCTCTGTCTCTGTGTTTTGGCCATCCTAACTAGTGTGAGGTCGTATCCCATTGTGGCTTTGATTTGCATTTCCCTAATGATTCATCATGTTGAGCATCTTTTCATGCACTTATTTAAAAATTTGAAAATGTTTTTAGTGGAGGTGGAGGTCTCAGTGTATTGCCCAAGCTGGTCTCAAACTCCTGGCCTCATGATCTGCCCACCTTGGCTTCCCACAATGCTGTGATTACAGGCATGAGCCACCACACCTGGCCTCATGCACTTAATGACCATGTTTATGTCTTCTCTGAAGAAATATCTCTTAACCCCTTTGCGCATTTAAAAATGGGATTGTTTGTTTTATTGTCGTTGAGTCTTAGGAGTCCTTTATGCATTCTGGATGTTCATCCCTGTCAGATACGTGATTTGCAAATACTCTCTCCCACCCCATGAGCTGCTCTTTCACTGTGTCCATACTGCCCTTTGCTGCACAGGTTTTAATTCTCGTGAAGTCCAGGTTGTGCGTTTTCCTTTGTGCCTTGCACTTTTGTTGTCAGGTGCAAGAAACCATTGCTGAGTCCACTGTCACGAACCTCTTCCTGTTTTCCTCTGTGAGCCACATGTTTAGGTCTTTGACCCACTTTACATTAATTTTGTACATGGTGTGAGGTAGGGCACAACTTCATTCTTTTAGTGGCTACCATGTCAGGTTGTGGTTACTGTTAACTTTTACAACTAGGAATGAGAAGACTCAGAAAGTCGTGATTTGGGGCTCATTGAATCTTTGTGAAGCTTTTCTATTCAAGCTGCGCTTGGCTGGGCAACTTTTGACTCCAGTTATGTGGGAGACATGTCATAAATGTTTCTAAGGTTTGGTCACTCACATTTTTTCAGTCTTAATTCACATTCCTCCCAATAATAGGGGGCATGGCTCCGGGAGAGGGGTGAGGTCCTGGACAACAGCACACTTGTCTTTAAAAATGTGTTGTTGGTGGGGTGTAGTTGCTTATACCTGTAATCCCAGTACTTTGTGAGGCTGAGGTGGGAGAATCACTTGAGGCCAGGAGTTCAAGAGCAGCCTAGGCAACAAAGTGAGATTCTGTCTCTAAAAAAAGTGGAAAAAAATATTAGCCAGGGGTAGTGGCATGTGCCTGTAGTCCCAGCTACTCAGGAGGCTGAGGTAGGTGGATCATTTGATCCTGGGAGGTTGAGGCCGCAGTGAGCCGAGATCATGCCACTGCACTCTAGCCTGGGTGACAGAGCAAGACCCTGTCTCAAAAAACAAATAACAAAACAACAAAAACCCAAACAAATGTGTTGTTGATATTTGGACACAGAACAGAATAGCAGCAACCAACCATGGGGATGGGGGTGAGGCTGACCACAGAGGGACGCCATGAGGGATTGTTTTGGGGTGATGAGACCATCCTGAATCTTGATTGTGGTGGTAGTTTTGACTGCATATAGTCAAAACCCTTAGTACTATGACACGAAACAATGACTTTTACCGTCTCACATTTAGGAAGTAACCGAAGCATGAATAGTGTACTGTTGTCAGGCAGTACTGAGTGGGGTCGGTGCTCCCTCTCTGGGCAGACCCCTGGGTCTGAGTTCGAGTCCCAGCCCTCTTGCTTCTTAGCTGTGTGCCTTGGTTCCCTTTTCTGGAAAAGGAATGAGGATTAAATGGATTCAGCTCTGAATCAGGCTGCCCCTAAGGGGTCCCTCCTCACAAGGATTTCCAGGCCCCAGGTGTGTGTGTCTGCGGGGATGGAGGAGGATGCACTGAGGACGTGGGAAGCTCATGTTCCTGCAGGGTGCTCCACCATCATTTGCCTTTATTTGGGGCCCTTCTTGGGTGGGGTGCTCTTTGTCTCCCACAGCATCAGTTATGTTCTGGGCACGTCCCAGGCATGACCTGGACATGGGGCAGCGGAAGGCTGGACCAGGCTGGCTGGTTCCTCCTGGGCTGGCGGAGCAGGAGGCCTGAGCTCTGAGGCCCTGGCTGGGTGGGCTATTTCTGGCATAATCTGTTTTGCTGGCCAGCAATTGCAGGGATGGAGAGCCAAGTGATCGGGATGTGTCCTTGCCTGGACGTGGGAAGGCCTCACTCTGCTTTTGCTTGCTCCAGGTTCAAGAGCTGTTCTGAGCCGGAAGGAACATGCTGTCCTTTGGGGCTTGATGGGACAGGCCAGTCTCCCTTCTCGACTTTCCTGCTTAAGGGACAGGAGGTGGGTCCCGGCTCCTGGGTGTGTCCTGTTGCTCTTTCCCAGTGATGCTTCCCAAATGTCCCCTCCCTGTGGTTGAGCCCAGGCCTCTCTGGGTCCTTCCGGGTGGACTTGCCCGCCTGCCTGTATTTTGTGATGCAGCTCCTGCCCTGTTTCATCGCCAGCATGTTTCTGACTGCTTCTGCCTTCCAGAAATTGATTGGAATCTCATGCTGGCTTGCTGACCACCTGCTTCCAGTTCTTTTTGTGGCAAGAGGTTTATTCCCTTTAGAATTCATTTGCTGGCGTGGGAGGGAGGGGAGGCAAGTGCATGCTGAGCCGCAGACTGGAGTGCCCTCCTCTTAGAAAGCAGCCACGCACCAGGAAGCCGGCCAGCCATTTACATTCCCGCACAAAGGTTGCCAGTGGCCTGTCCCTGAAAAGACGCCTGAAGCACAGGTTGCTGGAAGAGGCCTGCCGTGTCTGAATGGGAGGCCTCCCCCTGATCTGGGTGGCTTCCAGGAGGCTGACGATATTGAGGCCCAGGGCGAGCAGGAAGAAAGAACAGCAGGGGGTATAGGGGTGGCACCAGGGGCAAGAGCAGTGGGTGAGACCCCTCACTGACCTTGAACTGGAGACCCAGGCTTGCTTCGTTCTCTGTGGGGTGTTCCGGGCGGGGCTGCATCGGGGAGGCTGGAGGATGCTCTGGGACCTTGTGCCCAGATAGCAGAGCATTCTCCTTTCTCCTTGCCAGCCCCCAAACACATGCATAGACCAGTTTTGTCAGGTAGAAAGCCAGAGATTTAGAGCTCTAACAGGCAGATATCAGACAGAAAGCTTTCACCTGAGCCCTTTATTTGAGAACACAAAAGAAAACAGTTCTCGCGCCACATTCCCACGGTCGGGGTTCGGGTCCTTCTCAAAGGCCTGGGCAGATATTCTGGAACCCCCACTAGTGAGGGCTTCGATGCTGTCCTGCTCTTCTCAGTGCCGTCCTGGGCAGGAGTGAGGGCAGCGTCTCTCAGTGGCCATGTGAACCCCATCTTGGCAGTCCCTGGCTCAGGAATTGGGGGTGCTTAACTGTCCCCTACCCTCTGGCCTCCCTGCGGAATCCCTCCAGGGGTGAGGGCACATGTGTGGGGCGGAGAGTTGAATGGTGGGAGCTGATCCAGTGTGTGGCATGGGACAGGGCCCCAGACAGACGGCAGGGTCCGAGGTGGCGCCAGGGGCTGTGGGCATGGGTAGCCATGGCTTCGTGTTCTTTCTTAGCTTCCTTTGGAAATGAAGTGACTGGCAGTGCTGCTGTGGCATGGTTGCCTTTCTCATTTGGAGCCCTGAACAGTCTGGCATCCTCTCCTCCAACAGCGACCTTCTGATGGAACAGGCAAGCTGAAGTCACAGGGCAGGGGGCGGCCTCAGTGCCCCTGCGGATGGGGGTGCGCTCTCTTGGATGAGGCCTTCCTGCCACCTTCTGATGGAACAGGCAAGCTGAAGTCACTGGGTGGGGGGCGGCCCCAGGGGTGCGCTCTCTTGGATGAGGCCTTCCTGCCACCTTCTGATGGAACAGGCAAGCTGAAGTCACTGGGTGGGGGGGCGGCCTCAGTGCCCCTGCGGATGGGGGTGCGCTCTCTTGGATGAGGTCTTTCTGCCATAACCAGACAGGGGCGGGGTGCCAGGGAGAAGCAGGATCAGGACACCCAGCGATGGCTGTGGCCCCAGCAGTCCCTGATTCCCTGTGTGCTTCCTTCCTGCTCAGCTGCTCCATCCTGTGCTGCCTCCCTCAAGAGGACACCAGAGAGGATGCGGCAGTCTGACACCGCGAGGAACACCCCCACGGAGGCTGGCCTCCTTTCCCACAGCCCACAGGGTCTTTATGCTCAGCCAGTGGAGCTGTCTGGTCCTTGAGCCTGGGGGCTGTGGCTCTCCCAGTGATCAGGTCACCATCTCCATGTGTGTCTGCTTTGCCTCGCTCAGGGGTCACCTGCCTAACACGCGCCAGTGAGCACTGGCTTTGTTTCATCTGTGCTGTGTCAGCGGGGGCAGCGGGGACAGTGGCTCCACTCCCCCACTCCCTGGGCACAGCCCTCGCCCACAGCACTGTCCTGGTGTTGCACAGATGCTGCAGCACCTCCAGCCTGGGTGGGTTTACACACAGTCCCCAGCAAGGGAGCCAGGGTGCTCAGCCTCCCTTGGAAGCAGCTGCCAGGGAAGAAGCCTGTGTGTGCTGAACACGGGCTCTGCTAAGCCTTGTCCCCGTGCACCACCTGTCCTGCTATCTCCTAGTAGGCTCAGGTCCTCGAGACCCGCACCACTTGGGTAGCCTGACCTTGGTGCCTGAGTGCCCTGGCTCCTACCCAGCTGCTCCCCAGCTCCAAAGAGTGAGAAGAAGGAGAGGAAACGGAGTCAGGATCCCCTGTCCCTTTTTACCCGGGGCAGGGCCAAGCTGGAGGGCAGCCAGGCTGCAGCAGAAGCCTCTTCTCCTCTTGGTCCCCATGATGGGGACTCCCCTTTTCCCCAGGGATGCCGCTGGTAGCTGCTGTCACAATGGGGATAAAGCGATTATGTTTCCAGACTGTAGGGAGCCAACTCCCCCTGCAGGCTCAAGGGCCCTGATCCTATTGCCACCTGGGCAGGTCAGGGAGAGGGATCCTAGCTTTGCTTCCCACCCAGTCTCCTGGCCCCAGACAGCCTGTGCCTGACAAGGGGCCACCTCCCTTTCCTTCCATCATGAGCTGCCTCTCCTGACCTCAAGATGGCCTTGATGTCCTGCTGGAGGAATGAGGGCTGTAGGCGAGTGACCAGGTGACAATGTGTCCGTGGTCTCCAGGGACCAGGTGACGATGTGCCGGTGGTCTGCAGGGCCACTGTGGGAGTGTGTGTGTGTTGCAGGGTGGGGTGGGCTCATCTGGGGCTCGCCTGGTTCTGTTCTCTCTTCTCTAAGTATCCGAGAAAGCCTTAGTCACAGGTGCTGACGGAGAGCCCCTCTGCTCCCCTGCTGCACCATGAGAGGACCCCCAAAGCTGTTGTGTGAAGGGCTCCTGGTGAAAGGCCTCCCGTTTATCACACTGATTCCAGTGCAGCAGGTAAAACTGCAGCCCAGAATGGCCTGCCTTGCTCAGGGCTAGGCTTGGTCCCCTGAGAAATATCTTAGAGCCTCACTGTGCCTCCTCTATCCCACCTCCCAGCTCCTCTCCTGTCCCCCTTTCTTCTGCCTCTGTGCATAGTAGGAGCCTCTGGAAGGGGGACTTGGCACGGAAAGGCAGTGAGTGGGAGTTAGGAGCTACTGGCTCTCTGGTGTTTCCACCCTTGCTGCACACCCAGCTATGCTCCCTTCCCTCTGGCGTCTCCTCATGGACACTGGGGTCATTAGGGGCAGCTGGGGAGACTGGGCTCCAGGAGGGGCAGGAAGGAGGGTGGCAGCAGGAGGAACTGGCCTGGGGCACGCCCATGGTTGTATGATGTCCAGGCTTAGCAGGCAGCTCCTCACAGCACCATGTGCCTGGGGCAGAATGGGGGCTCCCTCCAGCAGAAGGGTGGTGCCTCGAGGTGATTTTTGATGCTGTCTGATGGGGTTAGAGGACATAAGATCATAAGATCCTGGGCTGAGGACAAGTTGATGCTGACAGTGCTCCTCCTTGTGGGGTCCTGAGGGTGCCACACACACAGGCTGGGCAGAGGCCAGTCCAGGCATAGCCTGCTTGATGCTGACAATCTGCTGCTAAAATGAGACTTCGCTTCTGACAGCAGAGGGAAAAAATAATAATGCATTGCTTGTTGACCCAAACTTTCCATGCAAGTCCCTATAAAGTGTTTAGTTATGAATACGATCCCTGAACAAGTTCCCCAGATGTAATGGAAACGTGAGATTGTGCCTCCTGGTGAGGGAGAATCTGCGGGGCTGCAATGTCCCATGCTCAGTGCATCCCTGCGTGGTCACAGGCATGTGACTTCAGCACAGCTGTGGAAGGGTCACAAGCTGTCACTGCACCAACCTTGGACCAGCCTCGTGCAGGGCAGTCACCCCCGCGGCTGCAGTACTGTCTCTGTGTGAAGGCTGTCCCCGCACCTAGAGTCCCAGGATGGCTATTTTGTTGTGCTCACAGCTTCTGTGAGTCCAGGCTGGGGAGGGCACAGGGGACAGCTGGACTTTGCTCCAGTGTCGGGGCCTCAGCTGGGAGAGCCCAAGTCTGGCAGCAGAGGCTCATGTCATCAGGCGTCCCCCAGCACCCTCCTGGAGGGCTCTGTGTGCGGCGGCTCAGCACAGCGGGACTTCTGACATGGCCAAGGCTCCAGGAACAAGGGCTGCAGAGAACAGGTGGGGCTGCCTCACCTTAGGACACATCTCAAAGTCACATTGTGCTACCTCTGTCCATTGGTCAGTAGGTCCAAGAAGGAGGGCTTCTCAGTGGAGCAATATCAGGGCCGATGTGGAGAGCAACTTGCAGGGTAGAGAAGTCATGTGGTTGTAAACATCATGTGCAATTCACACATTCTACTAATTGTACTTGGAAAGTGGCTTGAGACTTCTTTTTGCCCATCATTTTGCTAAACTTGTGTACTGAATTTTGGGAATGTAAATTTCCCCTGTAAATATGCTGAGGCCCACTAGGAGAGGTATGATACAAAAGATGGACAGAAACAAGTGTTGCTGAGGATGTGGGGAACTCAGAACCCTCAGACACTGCTGCTGGGAACGAGAGCTGTACAGCCACTTTGGAAAAGAGTTTGGCAGTTCCTGAAGAAGTTAAGCCTATCCAGAAAGTCCACTCCTACATATACATTTAAGAGAATTGAAAATGTGCATTCCAAATACAGGACAACTGAACAACCTGCTCCTCAAAGACTATTGGATAAATAAATAACAAAATGAAGGCAAAAATAAAGGTGTTCTTTGAAACCAATGAGAATGAAGACAATGTACCAGAATGTCTGGGACACAGCTAAAGCAGTGTCTAGAGGGAAATTTATAGCACTAAATGCCCACGAGAGAAAGCAGGAAAGATCTAAAATTGACACCCTAATGTCACAATTAAAAGAACTAAAGAAGTAATAGCAAACAAATTCAAAAGCTAGCAGAAGACAAGAAATACCTAAGATCAGAGCAAAACTCAAGGAGATAGAGACACAAACCTTTCAAAAAATTGATGAATCCAGGAGCTGGTTTTTTGAAAGTATCAACAAAATAGACCACTAGCCAGACTAATAAAAAAGAAAAGAGAGAAGATTCAAATAGATACAATAAAAAATGATAAAGGGGATATCACCACCAATCCAAAAGAAATACAAACTACCATCAAAGAATACTATAAACACCTCTATGCAAATGAACCAGAAAATCTAGAAGAAATGGATAAATTCCTTGACATTTACACCCTCCCAAGACTACAGTAGGAAGGAGTGGAATCCCTGAATGGACCAATAACATGTTCTAAAACTGAGGTAATAATTAATAACCAAAAAAAGCCCAGGATCAGATGGAATTCTACCAGAGATACAAAGAGGAGCTGGTACTATTCCTTCCGAGACTATTCCAAACAATAGAAAAAGAGGGAATCCTCCCTAACTCATTTTATGAGGCTAACATCATCCTGATACTGAAACCTGGCAGAGACACACAACAACAAAATTTGAGGCTAATATCCCTGATGAACATTGATGTGAAAATCCTCAATGAAATACTGGCAAATCTAATCCAGCAGCACATCAAAAACTCATCCACCACGATCAAGTCAGTTTCATCCCTGGGATGCAAAGTGGGTTCAACATATGGAAATTAATAAACATAATCCATCACATAAACAGAACCAAAGACAAAAACCACATGATTATCTCAATAGATGCAGAGAAGGCCTTCGACAAAATTCAACAGCCCTTTATGCTAACAACTCTCAATAAACCAGGAACATATCTCAAAATAATAAGACTATTTATGACAAACCCACAGCCAGTATCATACTGAATGGGCAAGCCCTGGAAGCATTCCCTTTGAAAACCAACACAAGACAAGGATGCCCTTTCTCACCACTTCTTTTCAACATAGTATTGGAAGTTCTGGCCAAGGCAATCAGACAAGAAAAAGAAATAAAGGGTATTCAATTAGGAAAAGAGGAAGTCAAACTGTCTCTATTTGCAGATGACATGATTGTATATTTAGAAGACCCCATTGTCTCAGCCCAAAATCTCCTTAAGCTGATGAGCATCTTCAGCAAAATCTCAAGATACAAAATCAATGTGCAAAAATCACAAGCATTCCTATACGCCAATAACAGACTAACAGAGAGCCAAACCATTAGTGAACTCTCATTCACAATTGCTACAAAGCGAATAAAATACCAAGAAATACAACTTACAAGGGATGTGAAGGACCTCTTCAAGGAGAACTACAAACTACTGCTCAAGGAAATGAGAGAGGACACAAGCAAGTGGAAAAACATTCCATGCTCATGGTTAGGAAGAAGCAATATCATGAAAATGGCCATACCACCCAAAGTAATTTATAGATTCAATGCTATCCACATCAAGCTACCATTGACTTTCTTCACAGAATTGGAAAAAAGTACCTTAAATTTTATATGGAACCAAAAAAGAGCTCATATAGCCAAGACAATCCTAAGCAAAAAGAGCAAAGCTGGAGGCATCACACTACCTGACTTCAGATTATGCTACAAGGCTACAGTAATCAAAACAGCATGGTACTGGTACAAAAACAGATATAGACCAATGGACCAGAACAGAGGCCTCAGAAATAATGTCACACAACTACAACCATCTGATCTTTGACAAACCTGACAAAAAACAAGCAATGAGGAAGGGATTCTCTATTTAATAAATAGTGTTGGGAAAACTGGCTAGCCATATGCAGAAAGCTGAAACTGGATCACTTCCTCACACCTTATACAAAAATTAACTCGAGCTGGATTAAAGACTTATATGTAAGACCTAAAACCATAAAAACCCTAGAAGAAAACCTAGACAATACCATTCAGGACATAGGCATGGGCAAAGACTTCATGACTAAAACACCAAAAACGATGACAACAAAAGCCAAAATAACAGGTGGGATCTAATTAAACTAAAGAGCTTCTGCACAGCAAAGGAACTATGAGTGAACAAGCAACCTACAGAATGGGAGAAAATTTTTGCAATCTACCCATCAGACAAAAGGCTAATATCCAGAACTGACAAAGAACTTAAACAAATTTACAAGAAAAAAACAAACAACCCCATCAAAAAGTGGGCAAAGGATATGAACAGACACTTCTCAAAAGGAGACATTTATGCAGCCAACAAACATGAAAAAATGTTCATCATCACTGGGCATTAGAGAAATGCAAACCAAAACCACAATGAGATACTATCTCACGCCAGTTAGAATGGCAATCATTAAAAAATCTGGAGACAACAGATGCTGGAGAGGATGTGGAGAAATAGGAATGCTTTTACACTGTTGGTGGGAGTGTAAATTAGTTCAGCCATGGTGGAAGACAGTGCAGTGATTCCTCAAGAATCTAGAAATAGAAATACTATTTGACCCAGCAATGCCATTACTAGGTATATATTCAAAGGGGTACAAATTGTTCTATTATAAAGACAGATACACACATATGTTTATTGTGGGACTCTTCATAATAGCAAAGACTTGGAACCAACCCAAATACCCATCAATGATAGAATGAATTAAGAAAATGTGGCACATATACACCATGGAATACTATGCGGCCATAAAAAAGGATGAGTTCATGTCCTTTCCAGGGACATGGGTGAAGCTGGAGACCAACATTCTCAGCAGACTGACACAAGAACAGAAAACCAAACACTGCATGTTCTCACTCGTAAGTGGGGTTGAACACATGGACACAGGGAAGGGAACATCACATTCTGGGGCCTGTTGGGGGATGGGGGGCTAAGGGAGGGATAGCATTAGGATTGACAGCATGTGGAATAGCCATAGGAGGAAATATCCAGTCATAAAATGGAACGAAGTATTGACTTATGCACCAGCATGAATCATTCTTGATGCTAAGAAAAACAAGCCTAGTGGAAAAGGCTTCCTATTGTAGAATTCCTCTGATATGCAAATCCATAGATACAGACAGTGGATTGCTGGTCACCAGGGCTGGGGACTGAGGGGTGGAGAGTGACTGCTAATGAGTGTGGGATTTCTTTGATGAAAATGTTCTAGAATTAGATAGTTGTACAACCTTGAAAATATACTAAGACCCACTGAATTGTATACTTTGAAAGGGTGAATTTCACAGTATGTGAGTTATGTCTTCATAAAAATTGTTTTAGAAGAAGGTTCTGAGAAACGTGTCCTTAGGTGATTTTGTCATTGCATGAACATCGGCATGTACTTCACCAGCCCGATGGTAGCACTGACCGCAAGTCTAGGCTGCATGCTATGGCCGATTGCTCCTGGGCTGCAAACCTGTAAGGCATGTCTCTGTACTGACTACTGTGGGCAACTGTAATATAATGGTCAGTATTTGTGCATCTAGACATATCTGAATATGGAAAAGGTGCAGCAGAAATACGGTATTGTAATCTTATGGGACCACCATCCTATATGTGGTCTGCTGTTGACTTAAAGGTCATCACGCGGTGCATGATTGCATCTAAAAAATCAGCTGAGAGATACGTCCTTTCTGTGAACTCTGAGTGTTGAACGTCAAGTGCCTTTCTACTGGGAGGGGTTCTTCAGGGCATGGCTGTGATAAAGGGGTGTAGGCACCCCACTGTTTCCTCATGCAGGGATCGCTGGAGGAGGATGAGTTGGAGATGTAGCTGACACCAAAGCCCCAGCAGCCAGGCATCTACCTCAAACCCAGTGTGAACCTTGGGACAGGTTTGCTCAACCAAGCCTGGCAGGTGGGCGCGGAGAAGATGCGATGACCAGGAAACAGGAGTGGAGCCTCAGAGTCATGTGAGGATGAAGAGTCTGAAGGCATGGGAGCCCTGCCCACTAGTAACATGGGCCTCATGAGGGTCTGGCCCTGGCCAATCCCATCAGCACTTCCTCCTCTGTGTGGGTGCTTGGTGTGTGTGGGCACAGGGGGAGCAGGGATTAAGCAGCAGTGAGACTCAGGCATGGTCAGGCCAGTAGGCACCAAGCTGCTGTGGGACAGTCTGGCCACAGCCACCATCCCCTGGGAGAAGAGGGTGGGCAAGACCTGGTGGGCTGTCAGGGCATGGCCTGAAGTTTAGGACAGAGGTTATGCCCAAAGAGGAATGGGATTCTCCTGGGGGACCAGGATGCAGCCACAGTGGGGGAGCAGGGGAAGGTGGGAGGGAGAAGGGGTGCATTCTGCTGGAATCAGTCACCTTGGAGTCACCAGTAGGCAAGCCTCTTGGTATTTCTGCCTGGGCCCCCCTGTCCTGTAACTTACTGTAACCAGTGAAGCAGGAGGGAGTGACAGGGAACTGTGCCAGTCCCAGGCCTAAGCTCAAGGGGGTCTAAGCTTCTGCATTTGCACTGGGGGAGCCTGAGCTGCAGCGTAATGTGCTGAGCCCCGAGACTTGTGGAGAGAATGAGGTGCAGCTGCCCCAGCCTCCAAGCTGAGTCCGGCCCTACTGGCCTTTCAGCTCCATGCGACCATGTGTGTGACCTCTGGCCACGCCAGAAGGAGATATTCCCAGCTGAGCCCAGCCCTGTTTGCAGAATCCTAGCAAATAAAGTGACCATTATTTTAAGTGGCTGAGTTTTGGGGTAGCTGGAACTCCCACTCCAGGCTTATCCTCTGATCCCTTCCTGGTGAGCAGAGGTAGCAGATCCACCTCCAGCTCTGGACAGAACTGGTGCTGCAGAGAGAGAGACTTGACACTGCAGGGAGAGAGACTTGATGCCACAGGGAGAGAGGCTTCATGAGTGACACTGGCGCAGGCAGGCTGGCAGGCAGGGTACCAGCAGGAGCAGCCTGAGTTGGATGGTCTCTGGGCCTGAGGGGTCTTGGGCAGGCATTCCCAGGCAGTGCTAATCTGCCCATGGCCCAGGGAATGTCTTGGAGCTCAGCTGACCATGGGTCAATCTACAGAGTTGTCTGAAGTGTCCGTCACAGGCTACCAGACATAAAGCACGTCTAGGTTATCTTGTTTCTCGCCAAATGGGTGTCAAACTCAGCATCTGACACAAGTGGGCTCAAAACTAGCTATGTGGAGAAGTGCGTGAGAGGGGAGCATTCCCCAGAGGCTTCCATGGTGGATCCCTTCTAGCCCTCACCAGACCTTGAGCCACTCTCTATAGCCAGACTGAAGGCACTGGGAGGCCAGGGATGGATCTGGAAGGGATGTGGTGCCCACAGTAGGTGCCCAGCAATGCTTGTGGCATGACGAAGTGTGGGAGGTGGAGAGCCTTGACCTCTTCTGGATGCTTTTCCTGCAGGCAGGCATGGCGTGCACGTGCACAGGACAGAGCTGATAAAGAATGAGCTTTGTCTCCTCCTGGCAGGCACAGAGAGTCTGAGTCTCTTATGTGTCAAGAATTCTGTGTTATTTAAAATTTAGCTATTGTGACCAAAACACATTTATAAATTCGCCTGTCAGTATCCCTTTTCTCTTTCCATCTTCTCATCCCTTAAGAGTCAGAGGACCCTCAAGATGGATCAGCAGTGCCCTGGTGTGTGTGGAGAGGGGCCCCAGGGGTGTGGAGCCTGCTGGGCATTGCAGAGCTGGCAGCGCCTCTGCGTTATTGCTCCATGGACTCTGTTTTCCCCTGCTCCACTCCTCCCTTGTCACCATCCCCACCCCACACCTTTCCACTCTGATTGGTGAAACTCTGTGAGATGTGCAGGTCTGTCTGTGTGTTTTCAGTGAATGCAAGTGTACTACCCAGCTCCTATTTCTCACCTCTGCTCTCAGCCTGATGCTCTTCAGATACACCACCGTGTTTTCTGGGCTTCTGGTATTGCTTTGTGCAGCTGATAGTATTTTTTTTCTTTCTTTCTTTCTTTTTTTGAGATGGAGTCTCACTCTGTAGCCCAAGCTGGGGTGCAGTTGCACAATCTTGGCTCACTGCAACCTTCACCTCTGGGGTTCAAGTGATTCTCCTGCCTCAGCCTCCCAAGGAGCTGGGATTATAGGTGCCCGCCACCATACCTGGTTGATATTTTTGTATTTTTAGTAGAGACTGGGTTTCACCATATTTCCCTGGGTGGTCTTGAACTCCTGAGCTCAGGCGATCCACCTGCCTTGGCCTCCTGAAGTGTTGGGATTATAGGTTTGAGCCACCACGCCCAGCCAGCTGTTAGTCTTCTTACGTGCATTTAAGATATTCAGTTATTCCCTCCTGATGGTGGCAATGGGTTGTCCTGAATGCTATCATGACACCTGAAGAACATCCCTGCACATTGTCTCAGGACATCTGGGAGGAGAATCAACAGGTCATCACCACCTTTCCCCCCAAGATTTATCACTAAGTGTTGTATAGTTTTTGATGTTTGTTATAGGTCATATTTTCCCGTTTCCTTATGTGCTTGATAATTTTTGATTGGCTGTCATAGATTATGAATTTTATCTTGCTGGTTGCTGGTCACTTTTGTTTTCTACGAATATTTTTGAGCTTTGTTTTGGGATGGAACGAAGTTATTTGGAAACAGTTGGAACCATTTGGGTCTGACTTTTAAATATTGTTAGTGGAACAAGCAAGAGAGGCCGTTAGTTGAGGGCTGATATTCCCACAAATGGAGCCAAATTCATTGAGGACTCTCCCAGTGTCTGGTATGGCTGGTGGGAGATGGCACCACTTCTGGCCCTGAGTGGCAGTGACTACAACTCCCTGTCTTCCTTTCCAGCCGTTCTTTCCCATGTCAGGCAGCTTCCCTGCAGTGTGTGCTGATCAGTTCCCATCTGATCTGCCAGCTGTAAAGAGAGGTCCAGGAGGAAAGGCGTGAGACCATCTGTCTACAGTTCTGTCAGTGAGCCACCATCGACGTGGGGTCTCCTGCCCAGTCAAGCCTTCCATGACCACAATCTCAGCTACAACTTGACCACCAGCCCGTCAGAGACCCCAAATCAGAAACTTGACACCCAACTGAGCCACTTCCAATCCCTGCCCTCAGACGCTGTGTGAGCTATTACATGCTTGGAATGCCAAGCCACTAGATTTGAGGTATTCTGTTTTGTAGCAGGAGATAACCAGCACATACGTTAATGTGTGCCCACCTGTACACCTCTGCACACACTCCCTCCATCTGTGCCTTCCACTCCTTTTCATCCCCATGTTTCTGCCCCACCCATTTCAAGGCTAAGCCTCCCTACCAGATGCCCTTGATTCTTTTAGAGGGAGGAACTTTTCCTGTGGATGACCTTAGAGCCTTCTTTGTGCCTGCTTTAAGGACACCTGTCTTCTACCTTGTTAGCACCTTTCCTGTGTGATAGCTGCATCCTGTCCTGCTCTGTGGTTCCTGAGGACAGGAGCCAGGGACATGAACATCTGTGACTCCATAGCTGGTGGTCCCACTGTGGAGGTGTCACATGCCCTCACACACCACAGCAAAACCCTCTCCCACACCTGGCCCTGCAGAGCTCGTCTGATGCCACACACATATCCATGCCTAGGTTGCCCATATTATAAGTACGGGAGACAATTTCCCACACCTGCAGGGCTGACTCTACTCACTCACCTGAGACTTGGGCCAGGAGGAGCCTTTCAGGATATGGGACTGCTGTGGTTTGAATGTGTCCCCTAAACTTCAGGTGTTGGAAACTTAGTCCCCAAATCCCTGTTGATTGGAGGTAGGGTCTTTGGGAGGTGATTGGGGTTATATAAAGTCATCTGGGTGGGGCCCCCATGATGGGACCAGTGGCTTTATAAGAAGAGGAAGAGAGACCTGATGTGGCATGTTCTTGTCCTGTCTCCATGTGATGCCTTCTGCTATGTGAAGCTGGAGCAGATAGACCCCCACAAGATGCCAGTGCCATGCTCTTGGACTTCCCTGCCTCCAAAACTGTGTGCCTGAGACTGGGTAATTTATAAAGAAAAGAGGTTTAATTGACTCACAGTTTTGAATGGCTGGGGAGGCCTCAGGAAACTTACAATCATGGTGGAAGGTGAAGGAGAAGCAAAGGCATGTCTTACATGGCAACAGCGAAGAGTGAGTGAACAAAGGAGGGAGCCCCTTATAAAACCATCAGATCTCGTCTCACAGCTCCACTAGGCAGTGCCCAGTGGGGACTCTTTGTGGGGGCTCCAACCCACATTTCTCTTCCAAACTGCCCTAGCAGAGGTTCTCCATGAGGGCTCCACCCCTGCAGCAGACTTCTGCCTGAACACCTAGGCATTTACATACACCCTCTGAAACATAGGTGGAGGCTCCCAAAGCTCAACTCTTGTCTTCTGTGCACTTGCAGGCCCAACATGATGTGGAAGTTGCCAAGGCTTGGGGCTTGCACCCTTTGAAGCCATGGGCCAATGTGTACCTCGGCTCCTTTTAGCCATGGCTAGAGCTGGAGCAGCTGGGACTCAGGGTGCCATGTCCTGAGGCTGCACAGCGCAGCAGAGCCCTGGGCCTGGCCACAAAACCGTTTTTTCCATCCTGGGCCTCCAGGCCTGTAATGGGAGGGGCTGTTGTGAATAACTCTAAAATGTCTTGGAGACATTTTCCTCACTGTCTTGGCTATTAACATTAGGGTCCTTGTTACTTATGCAAATTTCTGTGGCCAGCTTGAATTTCTCCCCAGAAAAAGTGTGTGTGTGTGTGTGTGTGTGTGTGTGTGTGTGTTTCTACCACATGATCCGGCTTCAAATTTTCTAAACCTTCATGCTCTGCTTCCGTTTTAAGCATAAGTTCCAATTTCAAACCATCTTTGTGTGACTACGTTTGATGAAATGCTTTTATAATCAGCCAGGTCACATCTTGAATGCTTTGCTGCTTAGAAACATTTTCTGCCATATACCCTAAATCATCTCTTTAGAATTCAAAGTTCCACAGATCTCTCAGGTAGGGGCAAAATGCTGCCTGTCTTTTTGCTAAAGCATAGAAAGAGTGGCCTTTGCTCCAGTTCCCAGTAAGTGTCTCATCTCCATCTGAGACCACCTCAGCCTGGACTTCACTGTCCATATCACTATCAACATTTTGGTCAAAACAAGTCTCTAGAAAGTTCCAAACTTTCCCACATCATTCTGTTTCTTCCAAGCCCTCTAAACTGTTCTGCTATCTGCCTGTTACCCAGTAAAGCTGCTTCCACATTCTCAGGTTATTCTTTATAGCAGTGCCCCACTTTTCATACCAGTGTTCTGTGTTAGTTCATTTTCACACTGCTGTAAAGAATACCTGAGACTGGGTAATTCATAAAGAAAAGAGGTTTAATTGACTTAAAGTTCTTCAGGGCTGGGAAGGCCTCAGGAAATTTACAATTATGGTGGAAGGCAAAGGGGAAGCAGGCACTTTTTTCACAAGATGGTTGGGGCGGAGAGAGAGAGAGTCCTACGCTTTTTTTTTTTTTGAGACGGAGTTTTGCTCTTGTTACCCAGGCTGGAGTGCAATGGCACGATCTTGGCTCACCACAACCTCTGCCTCCTGGGTTCAGGCAATTCTCCTGCCTCAGCCTCCTGAGTAGCTGGGATTACAGGCACACACCACCATGCTCAGCTAATTTTTTGTATTTTTAGTAGAGACGGGGTTTCACCATGTTGACCGAGATGGTCTCTATCTCTTGACCTCGTGATACACCCCCCTCGGCCTCCCAAAGTGCTGGGATTACAGGCATGAGCTACCGCGCCCAGCCCAGTCCTACACTTTTAAAGCATTGGATCTTGTGAGAACTCACTCACTATCACCAGAACAGCAGGTCCCTCCCTCAACAAGTGGGGATTACAATTCAAGATGACATTTTGGTGGGGTCATTGGGCCAAACCATATCAAGCAGAGACAGGGATGTGAGGAAATGGAATTTCTTAACCATCAGAGTTGAGGTTAGTACCAGTGCTTACAAGAGAAATTTGGCTGCAGAGATGTTATTTAGGAGTGTATTGCTTACTACCCAAACATATGGGGATTTTCTAGTTGTATTTAAATGATTGATTTCTGGCCCGTTCCATGGTGTATGTCCTGTGTATGACTTTGGTCCTTTTCACTTTGTTGAGTGTTGTGAATGCCCCAGGTGCTCTCAGAAGCAATGGACACTCTGCAGGTGTTGGGATTCAGGTCAAGGTGGGTCATTGTGTTGTGTCTCCTAGATCTCTGTGGACTTTTTTCCTTCCTGTTCTGTCAGTTTTACAGAGAGGGGTTTGACTCTGCCACTGTGGCCACGGGCTTGTCTACCGCTCCTTTTGGTTCTGCCAGGTTTTGCTTAGGATGCCTGTTATTTCATGCCACAAGCTTAGGACATTGCATTTCTGTTTGCTTGTTACCTTCTGTCATTCCTGAACGTCCCTCATGTGTATTACTGCTTCCTGTCTGATGTTCACATTGCCACAATGGAATTTTCTTACTATTTTAGTTTCAACTCTTCTGTAGGCTTGTATTTCAGATGTGTCTGCTGTATGTTATTCTTGCATTAATCATTTGCCTAGTTTCATTCCCTAGACATTTGCTGATGACTCTTATGCCAGATGCCCACTTGAGAGCCTGGAGAGAGTGGCAGTAGCGCCCACTGCCTGCTGTGTGACCTGCTTGCACCCCTGGGGACTCCAGCTCTGGGGCCTGTGCTGATTCTGCTCTGACAAACTGTGCAGCCCTCTCTAAGCGCCGTCTCCAGTGGGAACAGTATCGTCCACTTTGAAGTTCTGGACTCGGGTGTAGGATGTGATGGTTCTCTCATTTTAATCTCTCTCTAGATCTGACAATTTAAAAGAACTTGCATTCCTCAGACAAAAGTTCTTTTTTCTTTTTGCAGGAAATATTTTGCTGAATTTGATCAGTAACATTAGCAGAAATTTCCACTTCCATTAAAATTGTTAATCATTTTAAATCTAAAGAGCAAACCAAGAAAACAGTGCTTATTACTGATTATCACGTGACAGTTGACTTTTAAAGTCAAGGTGACTGAGGTATAATTTGCACAGATTAAAATTCACCCTTTTTAGATGCATAATTTGATGATTTTCCCTGGGTTAGCACCTAAGGTTGTATGGTAAACATATGTGAAACCACATTTGCAAAATTATGACAGTGACAGAAATCTGACAGAGTGGACTCCACGTTGCTTCTAACTCCAAGCTGTCTTGGTCATTCCTTGGCACAGGCCAAGCTAACTTTGGGAAGAATTTAGCTTAGAGTTTAGCTAAAGTTTTCATTTTAGTTTATAGTTTAAAGCAAGGATGATAATAGCTCTTCTGCAAAACTAAGCCACCTTTGTAAAAGTAATAAAAGGCCCCAAGGTTAGGATTTTGAGAGGGGCTGAATCGTGCTGAGATTAGCCATCACTAGACATTGTCTCAGCAGTCACAAGATGTGCAGCTTCTCCAGTTCTCCTGTGGATGACATCATCATTGTAGAACCCAAGATTGGCCTTTTGAGAGTTTTCCCCCCAAGACTTCTGCATTTCTGGTGACTGGGTGATGGTACCTAGACCTGAGGCTTGTGACTTACCTGGTCCTGTGCCCAGTCTCCACAGAGGGGGACTCAGTGCACAAGAACTGTTTTCACACAGTTCTATGATTTTATCACCAGCCAGTCAGCAGCACACATTCCCTAGACTCTGGCCCACCAAATAATCCTTGAAAAACCATAACGTCTGAGCCTTCTGGGAGACTGATTGAGTGAAAACCAGAGTTATCCTATAGGGCTGGCCTTGCATTAATTAAACTCTTTCTTTTTTTCTTTTTAAAGGCAAGACAGGCTTATTCATATTGATAATTCAAATAGAGAACTCAAATGCTCCTGACACGGTATCATTTTCAAGTACAATTCTTGTTACCAAGTTTACATTTACACAGTTGTTTCCCTCCCTAGATAAAACCATCTGATCTGCTGGAAACACCAACCAGTAGTTGAACCAACCATTTAATTAACCTATAAAAGCTTTGTGGAACTTTAAAGAAACTATAATAGTAAATTGGTTCCCAAAACTTTCTTTTTTTTTTTATTATACTTTAAGTTCTGGGTACATGTGCAGCACATGCAGTTTTGTTACATATGTATACCCGGGCCATGGTGGTTTGCTGCACCCATCACCCCATCATCTACATTAGATATTTCTCCTAATGCTATCCCTCCCCTAGCCCCCCACCCCAACAGTCTCGGTGTGTGATGTTCCTCTCCTGTGTCCATGTGTTCTTATTGTTCAACACCCACTTATGAGTGAGAACATGCAGTGTTCAGTTTTCTGTTCTTGGGTTAGTTTGCTAAATATATAACCATATCATCTGCAAATAAAGACAATTTGACTCCCTTTCCTAATTGAATACCCTTTATTTCTTTCTCTTGCCTGATTGCTCTGGCCAGAACTTCTAATACTGTGTTGAATAGAAGTGGTGACAGAGGGCATCCTTGTCTAGTGCCAGTTTTCAAAGGGAATGCTTCCAGTTTTTGCTGGAATATATATATTGGCTGTGAGTTTGTCATAAATAGCTCTTATTATTTTCAGATATGTTCCATTCATACCTAGTTTATTGAGAGTTTTTAGCATAAAGGGCTGTTGAATTTTGTTGAAGGCCTTCTCTGCATCTTTTGAGATAATCATGTGGTTTTTGTCTTTAGTTTTATGTGATGGATTACATTTATAGATTTGTGTATGTTGAACCAGCCTTGCATCCCAGGGATGAAGCTGACTTTTCAAATTACACACACATATATATATATATATATATGTAATGTGGGGTTCCTCTTTGTCATCCAGGCTGGAATGCTGTGGTCCAATCATAGCACACTGCAGCCTCAACCTTCTGGGCTTAAGCAGCCCTCCTGCTTCAGCCACCTGAGTAGCTGAGACTAAAGTCACACTCCCACCCCTGGCTATTTTTTTTTAATTAAAAAAAATTTTTAGAGATGAGGTCTTGCTATGTTTCCTAGGCTGGTCTTGAACTTCTGTGCTCAAGGAATCCTCCTGCCTCAGCCTCCTAAAGTGTTGTGATTACAGGCGTGAGCCACTGCACCCAGCCCATTGTCAGTACTCTTAATTTTAATTATTTTAGTGTGAGGTGAGGGCTTATTTGCATTTTCCTCTTGCCTAGTGATGGGGAGCCTCTGACCACACATAGATTTCCTAAGTGAGGTGTCTGCTCACATATTTTCCCATCTTTCTAAGTTAGGCTGTTTGTTTTCTTATTGAGTTTCGAGAATTTTTAAAATATACATTCAGATACAATGCCTTTATCATATATGCAGGCCTTCATCAGCAAATATTTTCTCTCCGTGTGTGGGTTTTGATTTTCTTAATAGTGTCTCCTCGAAAAACAAAAGGTTTTCCTTTTTATCAAGTCCAGTCTATCATTTTCTGCTTTTCTGAGTCATTTCTGGTATTCTAGCAACAACTTACTTTTCAACCCAAGGTCCTTAAGTTTTTTTCCTCATGTTTTCTTCTGGAAGTTTTATAGTTTTAGCTTCTGCATTTAGTTTATGATTCATTTTAAGGTTAAGTTTTGCATATGATGGAAGGTGAGGGTTGAAGTGTTTTTATGCACACGATTCTTCACTTGTTCCAGCACCATTTGAAGAGACTATCTTTTCCCTACTGCATTATCTTGGCATCTCTGTAAAAATCAATTAATCATATATGCATAGTCTATTTCTGGAAAATTTTGTTCCACTGATACGTATGATGCCCTGTGCCAGTACTGTACTGTCTTTATTTTTGTAGATTTTTAGTTGCTTATTACTAGAAATAGCTATCATATAGAAGTGGTGGGTTTAAAAACTGCTCTGCTCTGGATGTCAAGCACACCAAAAACATTGCTAACTAGAAGAGATTAATAAGAAGCAGACAAGAATCTTCTGAGTGGGGAATCTATAGCCTGACTCCCCCTGCAGCTTCCTGAGCAGAAATCAGGGGTACCCTAGCCTGGGGGAGAAGGACTGTGGTCACCTGCACCATAGCAAGAAGCTCTGTTTGGAGCAGAGCCTGGTGTGGCCATGGGTTGGGTGCTGGGGAAGACCCTGGAGAGCTGTGTTCCCTGAAGGGTTTGAACCAAGGGGAAGACATGCTCCATGTGCTTCTTTCTGCCATGGAATTGGTGGGAGATTAGAATTGTCATGAGCTGCAAGGCAGGCTTTCCCCTGCACATGTTCATAGAATGAGCCCTCCTGCTCTCAGCCTCTGGTGTTCATTTCCAAGTAACTGGCTAGAGGCAGTGGACAGTAAATCAGTAGTTCATCTTGTAAGAACCTGGTGTGATTAGCTTGGGGCTGTAGTGAGGAGGGAGATCCTTCTGGGCTGCTGATACACTTGACTCAAATGACATCCCAGAGTAACACTGTTCAGTTCTCTTCAAGCCATTTCTGAGTATCCAGAGCTTCCTTTACGGGAGAGCATGTTGGGGGATGGAGCATGTTCAGCGAATGGCACAGCTACAAGTTCAGTTGGCCGGAACAAAGGACCAGTGGGGCAAGGCTGTGGTGCCCACTCTGGGTGTGGACAGTCCTGCAGGAGAGTTGATGTGTTTCCTACTGAGCTTTGCTCTGCTGACTTGCTGGTGGCATTGTGGGCACCAGTGTCAGTACTGGGAAAATAATCCATGTATGTCCCATGGAGCAGGTTGGTACATGGAGCAAACCGCAGCAGACCTGTAGAAGAGGGGCTTGACTGTTAAAACAACAACAAAAAAACCCCACAAAACCCTAAGAAACAGAAAGCAACAACCATCAACAAAAAAGACCACTCCACCAAAAAAAAAACCCAAAAAAACAAAACAAAAGAAAACGAAAGGTTGTCAGCCTCAAAGAGCAAAGGTAGGTAAATCCACACAGATGAGGAAAAACCAGCCTAAAAATGCAGAAAATTCCAAATTCCAGGATGCCTCTTCTCTTCCAAATGACTGCAACAGCTCTCCAGCAAGGGCACAGAACTGAGTGTAGAATGAGCTGGATGAATTGACAGAAGCAGGGTTAAGAAGGTGGGTAATAACAAACTCCACTGAGCTAAAGGAGTATGTTCTAATCCAGTTCAAAGAAGCTAAGAATCCTGAAAAAGGTTACAAGAGCTGCCAAGTAGAATAACAAGTTTAGAGGGGAACATAAATGACCTGATGAAGCTGAAAAACACAGCATGAGAACTTTGTGAAACAGACACAAGTATCAGTAGTCGAACTGATCAAACAGAAGAAAGGATATCAGAGTTTGAAGACCTCTGAAATAAGGCATGTGGACAAGATTAGAGCAAAAAGAATGAAAAGGGGTGAACAAAACCTCTGAGAAATATGGGACTATATAAAAAGACCAAACCTATGATTGATTGGAGTACCTAAAAATGACGGGGACAGTGAAACCAAGTTGGAAAATACACTTCAGGATGTTATCTAGGAGAACTTCCCCAATCTAGCAAGACAAGCCAACATTCAAATTCAGGAAATATGGAGAACACCACTAAGACACTCCTCGAGAACAGCAACCTCAAGACACATAATTGTCAGATTTTTCAAGGTTGAAACGAAGGAAAAAATGTTAAGGGCAGTCAGAGAGAAAGGTCAGGTCACCTACAAAGGGAAGCCCATTAGACTAATAGCAGATCTCTCAGCAGAAACGCCACAAGCAAGAAGAAAGTGGGGACCAATATTCAACATTCTTAAAGAAAAACATTTTCAACCCGGAAATTTATATCTAGCCAAACTAAGCATCGTAAACGAAGGAGAAATAAAATCCTCTCCAGACAAACAAATCCTAAGGGATTTCAACACCACCAGGCCTGCCTTGCAAAAGCTCCTGGAGGAAGCACTAAATATGGCAAGGAAAAGCTGGTTCAAGCCACTGCAAAAACACACCCAAATATAACAATGACACTATGAAGAAACCGCATCAACTAACATGCAAAATGACGAGCTAGCATCATGATGAAAGGATGAAATTCACACATAACACTGTTAGTCTTCAATGTAAATGGGCTAAAGCCCCAATTAAAAGACATAGACTGGCAGATTGGATAAAGTGTCAAGACGCATCAGTGTGCTGTATTCAGGAGACCGATCTTACCTGCAAAGACACACATAGGCTCAAAATAAAGGGATAGAGAAAAATTTACTGAGCAAATGGAAGAAAAAAAAAAGCAGGGGTTGCAATCATAGTCCCTGATAAAACAGACTTTAAACCAACAAAAATAAAAAATGACAAAGAAGGGCATTACATACTGGTAAAGGGATCAATTCAACAAGAAGAGCTAATATCCTAAATATATATACACTCAATACAGGAGCACCCAGATTTATAAAACAAGTTCTTAGAGACCTACAGAGACTTAGACTCTCATACAATAATATTGGGAGATTTAGACAGTTCGATGAGACAAAAAACTAACAAGGATATTCAGGACTTAAACTCAGCTCTGGATTAAGTGGACCTAATAGACACCTACAGAACTTTCCACCCAAAATCAACAGAGTATAAATTCTTCTCAGTGCCATATGGCAGTTATTCTAAAATTGACCACATAATTAAAAGTAAAACATTCCTCAGCACGTTTCTCATGACCACAGTGCAATGAAATTAGAACACAGGATTAAGAAACTCACTCAAAACCACACAACTACATTGAACAACCTGTTTCTGAATGACTCCTGGGTAAATAATGTAATTAAGGCAGATATCAAGAAGTGCTTTGAAACCAATAAGAACAAAGAGACAACATACAAGCATCTCTGGGACACAGCTAAAGCAACATTAAGAGGGGAATTTATAGTACTAAATGCCCATACCAGAAAGCTGGAAATATCTCAAATCAACACCCTAACATCACAATTACAAGAACTAGAGAAGCAAGAGCAAAAAAATTTAAAAGCTATCAGAAGACGAGAAATAACTAAGATCAGAGCAGAACTGAAAGAGCTAGAGACACGAAAAACCCTTCAAAAAAATCCATTAACACAGGAACTGTTTTTTTGGGAAAAAAATTGATAGACCACTAGCTAGACTAATGAAGAAAAAAAAGAGAAGAATCATATAGACAAAATACAAAATGATAAAGGGGATGTTACCACTGACCCCACAGAAATACAAACTGCCATCAGAGAATACTATAAACACCCCCATGTAAATAAACTAAAAAATCTAGAAGAAATGGATGAATTCCTGGACACATACACCCTTCCAAGACTAAACCAGGAAGAATTGGAATCCCTGAATAGAGCAATAACAAGTTCTGAAATTGAGGCAATAATTAACAGCCTAACAGCTGAAAAAAGCCCAGGACCAGATGGATTAACAGCCGAATTCTGCCAGAGGTACAAAGAGGTGCTGGTACCATTTCTTCTTTAATGATTCCAAACAACTGGAAAGGAGGGACTTCTCCCTAACTCATTTTATGAAGCCAGCATCATCCTAATACCAAAACCTGACAGAGACACAAGAAGAAAAGAAAACTTCAGGCCAATATCCCTGATAAGCATCAATGTGAAAAATCCTCAAACCAAATCCAGCAGCATATCAAACAGCTTATCCAACACAACCAAGTCGGCTTCATCCCTGGGATGCAAACCTGGTTCAACATATGCAAATCAATAAATGCAATCCATCACATAACCAGAACCAATGACAAAAACCACATGATTATCTCAATAGATGTAGAAAAGGCCTATGATAAAATTCAACATCCCTTCGTGTTAAAAGCTCTCAATAAACTAGGTATTGATGGAACATATTTCAAAATAATAAGAGCTATTTATGACAAATCCATAGCCAATAACAAAAGGAACAGGCAAAATCTGTTAGCATTCCCTTTGAAAACCGGTGCAAGAGGATGCCTTCTCTCACCACTCCTGTATAACATAGCATTGGAAGTTCTGGACAGGGCAGTCAAGCAAGAGAAGAAATAAAGGGTATTCAAATAGGAAGAGAGGAAGTCAAATTGTCTCTGTTTGGAGATGACATGATTCTATATTTAGAAAACCTTGTCATCTCAGCCCAAAAACTCTAAGCTGATAAGCAACTTCAGCAAAGTCTCAGGATATGAAATCAATGTGCAAACATCACAAGCATTCCTATACACCAACAATCGACAAACGAGAGCCAAATCATGAATGGACTCCCACTCACAATTGATACAAAGAGAATAAAACACCTAGGAATACAGTTAACAAGGACACAATGGACCTCTTCAAGGAGTGCTATAAACCACTGCTCGAGGAAATAAGAGAAGACACAGACAAATGGAAAAGCATTCCATCCTCATGAATAGGAATAATCAACATCTTGAAAGTGGTCATACTGCCCAAAGTAATTTATAGATTCAGTGCTATTCTCGTCAAACTGCCACTTACATTCTTCACAGAATTAGAAAAAAATACTTCAAATTTCATATGGAACAAAAAAGAGCCCATATCACCAAGACAATTCTAAGCAAAAAGAACAAAGCTGGAGGCATCATACTACCTGACTTCAAACTATACTACAAGGCTACAGTAACAAAAACAGCATGGTACTGGTACCAAAACAGACATATATACCAATGGAGAAGAACAAAGACCTCAAAAATAATACCTCACATCTACACCATCTAATCTTTGACAAACCTGACAAAAACAAGCAATTGGGAAAGGATTCCCTGTTTAATAAATGATGCTGGGAAAACTGGCTAGCCATGTGCAGAAAACTGAAACTGGATCCCTTCCTTACGCTTTATAGAAAAATTAAGATAGATTAAAGACTTAAATTTAAAATCCCAAACCATAAAAACCCTAGAATAAAACCTCGGCAATACCATTTAGGACATAGGCATGGGCAAAGACCTCGTGACAAAACACCAAAAGCAGTTGCAGCAAAAGCCAAAAGAGACAAACAGTGTCTAATGAAATTAAAGAGCTCTGCACAGCAAAAGAAACTGTCATCAGAGTGAACAGGCAACCTACAGAATGGGAGAAAATCCGGTCTGCCATTAGCGGCCATTTGCACTGGTTCCATGTCTTTGCTATTTTAAATAGTGCTGCAGTAAACATACGTGTGCATGTGTCTTTCTAGCAGAATGATTTATATTCCTTTGGGTATATACCCAGTAATGGGGTAGCTGGGTTGAATGATATTTCTGATTCTAGTTCCTTGAGGAATCGCCACAGTGTCCTCCACAGTGGTTGAACTAATTTACATTCCCACCAACAATGTAAAAACATTCCTATTTCTCCATAACTTCATCAGCATGTATTGTTTCCTGACTTTTTAATAATCGCCATTCTGACTGGTGTGAGATGATATCTCATTGTGGTTTTGATTTGCATTTCTCTGATGATCGGTGATATTGAGCTTTTTCTATACATTTGTTGGCTGCATAAATGTCTTCTTTTGAGTGTCTGTTCATATCCTTTGCCCATTTTTTTGATGGGGTTTTTTTTTTTCTTGTGAATTTATTTCAGTTCCTTGTAGATTCTGGATATTAAACCTTTGTCAGATGGATAGATGGCAACATTTTTCTCCCATTCTGTAGAGAGGGGCCAACATGGGCTGATGCAGCTTCAGACAGTTCGGAAATTCCCCCCACGTGAGGGGAGGTACACCTGAGACAGGCATGGGCATCCTCCTCCTTCCCCTGTTTGGTGGTACCCCGGTGACTGTGGGGATCAGCCTTTCTGTTCAAATAACAGCAGAAACTGTCTTGTCATCTTATGAGCTTCCAGAAAAGTCCCTTGCCTTTTGTCCAAAAAGAGAGGTTTCCTGAGTCCTTTTGGGCTCTGACCTTAAACCTTGGGGAGTGGAGAGTCTACTTGGAATGAAGGACCCTCCCTGGGATTCTGAGCAGTTAAGAAGCCACTGAGCTCAGAGCAGCGCAGCTCAGGGTGGGGCCAGTGCTTTCCACAAAGCCCCCCCAAACTCCAGATGTTGAAACTCCGCGGCCTGTGGGACAGAACTGAGACTACGGGAGGCCTTTAAGTGGTGATGATTAAGTCGTGAGGGCTCCTCCCTGGTGAAGGCTCCAGCCCAGCGTTCAGCTCTCACGCTTCACCTCTAACCTGTGAGGCTGCAGTGCTCATTCCCTCTAGGGACCATGCCTGTCCCACGTGCACCTCCCCTCACGCGGGGCAGTTTCTGAAATGTCTGAAGCTGCATCAGCTCACGCTGGCCCTCTGTGGTTGATACAGACAGAGGAGTCCTCCCCGGGCAGATGCTGGGGGGAGGACTCATGGGCAAGGATTTATTCGGGCAGGGACACTGGCCAGGGTCATCGATGTCCCCAGACCCCACAGCCCACTGGCAGCTGGCCACAGATTGACAGCTGGTTCAGTGGCCTCTTTGTGCAATGTGGCATTTGTGGGCTGCGGTCAGTGCTTCTGGCTGGAGCCAGAAGGGATGGAGGAGGAAGCAGGGGGTGGCCAGGCTGGATGGGCTCCAGAGTGGAACTTACACCAACGACCATTGGCCATTGAGACAGGACACTGGGTTTCACATTCCTGAGCTGGTCAGTTGATCATTAGTCTTGAGTGCCCAGGGTAGTGATGGGGGCTGTGGTCTCCCAGGCTCTTCTGCGGACGTGTGTGTGAAGGGGCTCTGGCAGCCGGAGTCATCTTTGAAGGCATTTGCGGGTAGGAGCTGCTGGGAGCTAAGTGTGCAGTGGCTCTGGACTGGTCAGGAGGACCTGAGGAAATTGGGCAGATGAGCAGACAGCATCGGGGCCTCTGTGGGGTGCCAAGTCTGCTCAGACAGCCAGAGCTGTCAGCTCACAGGCTGCAGCGGCCACAGACGCCACGGTGCACACAGACACCATCAAACCAGCTGTTGATCCGTGGCCCATTGCCAGTAGGGTCTGCATGTTGATGTCCCTGGTACTGAGGGTCATACTGCGTGCAGCGATGTGCTCTTTGAAGACAGTGGCCCAGTTCATTCCGTGACAGTCTACCAGGGTGGTTGTGTTGCTTCTAATTTACTGATGAGAAAAGTGAGACTCGGCAAAGTTCATGAGCCCCAAATTACCCAAATTGTTGGCACGCGTGGGAGTGTGCATTTGAACCAAAACTATGTGACCCCAAAGCCCATGAATGTGGACTTAGGGAAAACACAGCTCAGCTATGAAGTGTTTAATTGCGAACTGGGGTCCAGAGAATGGTGGGAAGCAGGGGCTGAGGACAGCCTTCTAGGCCCCAGTCCCAGGTTGGCCGTGGGGAAATGCCCAGACGTCTTCAGTTGAAATGCCATCTTGATTACATCTCTGGCCCAGGCTTGGCCCAGGACTTCCCATTCATTCTTCAGCTGCATGAGAGTGAATTGTTTTCCCAGCACAGCCGAGAGCTATAGGGCTGTAAACCAGAGGCCTTGAGTCCTGGCTGGCATCTGTCTGGCCTCCGCTGGCTGTGGGGCCTTGGGTGAGGCTTCCCCTTTTCCGAGCTTCAGTTTTCCAGCTGTTCTCCCAGGTTCCTTCTGGCTCCGATGTTTGCCAGTTGTGAGCTGGGGGCTCTCAGAGCTTCCTGTCTCCTGCTTCTTCCCACACCACCTTGCTGGGTCCCAGCTGTCTGTCATGGAAAGAATAAGGGAAAGACCCGTGGCATGGTTTCCCCTTGGGGGACACTGGGCATCTTTTTTCTTTCTGTTTCTTTTTGTAAGTAGACCCTACTCATTTATTCAAAATTAGCCGATATCAGTAATACTGTTAATTTAGAGAATATAGTTACATATACACATGGTCTTTTCATTTATACATTTAAAAATATTTATAGTATCTAAGGTATTACATCAGGCATAGCAGAAAACTTGTTTGGAAAAAATGTGTTACTTGTCAAGTTCAGCAGCACCAAGTTGAGGAGGTAAAATACGTCATAACATAGAATGTAAGTCAGCAGTAAAGGTCTATGACTATTTGGAAGAGAATGAAGAGAAGGGATCCTAGGAGGGGTTGCCATGATCTCTTTCTAACGGTCATCCCTCCTCCTCATTTGTCAATGGACACAAGTTAATGCCCAGTCACAAGAACAGCTCCCAAAGCTGGGTTGATTAATGCCTGTGTATGTGTATATGTATATTTTATATATATACATAATTTTAACTTTTCGATTCTGGTGGTATGTGTGCAGGTTTGTTCCTGGGAATAGTACACGATGCTGAGGTTTGGGGTATGATTGATTCTGTGATCCAGGTACTGAGCATAGTACCCAAAAGTTAGTTTTCCAGTTCTTGCTCCCCTAATTCTCTCCCTGCTCAATCAGTCCCCAGTGTTTATTGTTGCCATCTTTACACCCATGGGCACCCAGTGTTTGGCTCCCATTTATAAGAAAGAACATGCACTAATTCACTTGGGACAACGGCCTCCAGCTGCATCCCTGTTGCTACAAAGGACGTCATTTTGCTTTTTTGTGGCTGTGTAGTATTCCACGGCGTATATGTATCGCATTTTCTTTATTCAATCATCCGTTGGTCACCTGGGTGGATTCCACGTCTTTGCTGTTGTGAGCAGTGCTGGGATGATCACGTGAGTATGTGTGTCTTTTTGGTAGAATGACTTGTTTTCTTTTGGCTGTACACTCAGTAATGGGATTGCTGAGTCGAATGGTAATTCTGTTTCATGCTGTTTGAGAAATCTCCAAACTGCTCTTCACAGGGACTGAACCAATGTACATTCCCACCAGCAGCCTACAAGCACTCCCTTTCTCCACAGCCTCACCAGCATTTTTTGTTTTTTGACTTTTTAATGATAGCCATTCTGACTGGTGTGAGATGGTATCTCACTGTGGTTTTAATTTATTAATTCTTGTATTTTGATTCTTGGAGAAAATAAACAGGCACAGAGATTTAGGTGGATGGAGCTTTAATATTAATAAAACAGGGATTCTCCACCCCCCACTAAGCCAACCCAAACTGACAAACACTAGCTGTTAAACAAAACCAGCAGGACGATTTCTCCAGCGGAGGCTCATTTTTGCTTCCCCCTCCTAGACTCATGTAAGAGACAATGCAGAGGGCTCCGTGTGCTCCAGGAAGTGGCGGAGCCAGGTGGCATTAGATGAATGGCATCACTTCTGAGTGGGCAAGTGGCTTGCCGTGGGCTCCTGTGGCTGTATCGAGTGTGATTTCAAAAGGGAAAAAACCAACCATTGTGTCTGTGGTCCCAGGAAGCAGGGCCGAGTGCCTGCCAATGTTTGATTTGATTCTGCACATATGGTTCAGGTCACCTTGCTCAAACAAGGGCAGCGAGAGACACATTTCCAAAGAAAAAGAGGAATGTGTCTGGGGTGAGGACAGAACGACAGACGGGAGGGTATGGATGGAGTCAGACGTGGCAGAAAGAAACCACTGGAAGGCCACCTTGCTTAGGCATTTCCTACATGTTCTTTGGGTCCTAATATTTCACAGAAGTGCCGAAGAAGAGACCAAAGGTGATGGGCTGGGGTGGGTCTGGGGAGAGTTTGCACTGGGCCCCAGGCACTTCCTGACCAGAGCATTCACTGTAGACAGTTTACACAGGACACATTCCTGCTTATGATTCTGTGTCCATTACAATAGATAAGCTATGTTGGCATTTATATGTGCTGGGTTCGATTGAAGGTGTTTTCAGTTAAATACCTTAGAGCACAACTGAGCTCACTGAATCCTCTCACTTTACAGCTGAGGAACAGGGGCAAAATGAGGCTCAGCCCAGTCACTGAGGGGTCTCCAGGGAGTGGAAAACCCAGGCCTCGCCAACCCTAGTCCAGGCTTTTCTCTACCAAACCAATTATTTGACTGAAACATGGTCAGTTCCCTTGAAGTGGGAGGCCAAGCAGGATGACCTGCAAGGGTGGCATGAGTGGGTGCTGAGCCTGGTCCCCTTGGGCCTTGGGGCTTAGCCAGGTTACGTGGTCCAAGGATGGGTCTCTCAAGACTGACTCTTCCTGACTACAGAGTTTTGTCTTTTTCCTAAACTTCCCCTAAATCGAACTCTGCTTGATGTCTCTGTTTTTGAACTTTTAGCCTCTATTTGTCCCCAACCCTTGAAATAGCTGCTCTGCCTTTTCCACGCGGTCCTGAAGCTGGCATTGTTATCATCAGTGCCTTCACACAGCACATTACAGTTTGCAAATGACTCTTACAGGATGGCCCCATCTGACGTTCAAAGCAGCTCCGTGAGAAAGACGATTATTTCCATAATGAAACGGCATGGAAGCTGAAGCATCCTGTTCAACTCAACCCTGCCCGTATGTAGCAGAGGTGGGACGTGCATTTGAAATGTCTGACCCTGAGTTCCATATTCGTTCCAGCAGTCAGAGGCCTCACTGCAGTGGAAATGGAGCTTCTCTTGGTTCATTATTCAGAAAATATCTATTGAGCATCTGCCCCGTGCTGGGAGCTGCTCCAGGCCTTGGGGATACAGCAGAGAACCAGACAGACTCCCTGACTTCCAGGACCTAAGCATTTGGGGGTTGGTGTTCAAAACTCCCAAGAGGATGGCACGTTATGTTACAGGCTGAGTAATTCTGGATGGTTAAATCATCTGTGAGTTCCAGCATAACACTGTCCCCAAGAACGTTCTCCAGTAAGAGCACGAGTCTGCATGTAAACTCATTTCCAGGGTCTGAGGAGCGCTGTCAAAACGTACACACTGCTCAGGTCAGGAACACAGCGGTTGTGCTTGTTAGACAGGGAGATGGCATCCTGATTGAGGCCAGTGAAATAAAACACAGGTTTAATTATAGGAATCCTGGAATGTATGACAGAACGCAAGTGTGGGAATGTGGCTGGGCTTCAGCTAGATGAGTCAAAACTGGAACCAGAGATGGAAACCCCACTGGCTCTCTTTCTGTCTGTGTGTCTTCTCCTATTTTAATGTTGGCTCTATTCTTCAGTCTCACTGAAGCCAGTTTTCTCCGTGTGGCAGGACGCTGCACTGAAGGTTGCACGTGTTACCTCTTGTGGCTTCAGTCTCCCAAACAACGGGACAACGCCTGGGGCAGGGCTGTTGACCCACTGTGGGCCTGTGCACACGTGCACACACCATAGCTGGGGGGTGGTTAGTGGTACAGGGATGGTTGCGGGGGAGGCCACTGTGAGGAACACACGTCTGGATAGCCGTCTTGTAAGGCCATCCAGGGTTCTCCACCTTGGCTACTGGATGACCTCAGAATCACAGAGAAGAATTTGTCGAAGAGGCATTCTAAAACCTCCATTGGCCAGAGGTCCCAGGGACGGCCCATCTCCCTGACCAGGGCTCGGGCAGATGGCTGGTGGGCAACGGGGCAGTGGCTGTGGATGAAAAGATGGGGCATTATCCAAGGCAGTGCCCTTGTGCAGAGCCAGGCTTCTCCAGGAAGACAACCGGAGTCTATGTGGTGTGAATTGCCTTCTGTCTCCTGGAATCCAGGAGAGGGATGTTCTAGGGGGTTCCCAGCACAGAGCTTTCTCCCTTGGCTGTGTTTGTGTGTTTACTGGGATGGCACGGAGAGTTGCTTCCTTGCCATGGAGAGGCTGCCAACATTGACGTTCTTCGTTTGTGATGTTTTTGGGACTGTTGTGCAAAAATAAAATGCCATTTTTTTCCAATGTTTCTAAGATGTACACATTAAAAAAAACACAACTTCTCCAAGATTGGAATACACTGCAGAGTTGACGGCACGTCACAGCTCTCCTGCCAAGGGTGTCTGTTGTCCTCAGTACATAGAACAGTGGTCTTATATCAACGGTGTCTTAAATTCAATGAAGTGTGATCATTGTAGAGGCAAATTCCCTTGAAAACAGTGACGGCAAGTCATGGCAGAATGCGCCAGCCTGCCAACCTTAGATCATGAGATTCCGGAAACATGATTACGTGTTGAGTTCATTTGAGCAGGAAGCTCGAGGTTAGCCACCTGGGAAACACGGACTCCAAAGGAACGGGCTCAGCGCTCCACAAGCTGGGAGTTAGGGCTTCACTTACATAAGCTTAGGGGTTCCAGCATCTTCCATGCAAGGTCTGCGCATATGTTGTAGGGATTTGATCGGAGGCAGCTTGCTACATTCTAAGAATATTGCTTTAACATTCCACGAGCAGCATTGACCATCTGAGGGGCTCCTAGCTCTGGTGCCACAAAGTCTTTCCAAATCACTTACAGGAAAAAGCAGGAGCCACAGCTGCGTGCTGTGTGGCTCAGGCCACAAAGCCACGTTACTGTCAGGGATCAGAACAATCGAAAGTTCCAGCACATTTAGGTTTTAATTATTTAATTTCACAAACCTTATGGATAAACAAAGGAACGTCTCATCTTCTTGGCAGCAAGGGTGGGTTTTATGGCTGAGCCAAATGGGCTTCTGAGTCGAAGGAGAATCCGCCGGAAGTGGGGAACGCACACTAGTCTCTGGAAACCGAACGTCGGGAAATGAATGAGCCCTGAAGAGCAGATGGGCTACGTGTGAAGAGCAGTTCCTCTCTGTTGTTTTACTAAATGCTGGAATCAGCTTTAAATCAGTTTTAAAAAGCCGCTGTGCCTTTCCATTTTAAAGCGGCTCCTAAAGGAAAGGCCGCCTCCGTTGTGTGGGATGTGCTGAGGAACTTCTGGCTAACAATAGACGGTGCATTACTTGACCCTCAGAGTGACTTGGGTGCAAAGTGACTAAAAATGTTAATTCAAATTGGCTTAAATGGGGAAAAAACTGTTATCTCACATGAAAAGAAGCCAGTAGTCCAGATTCCAGAAGTCCTCATTAAACTATTGACTTTCCTCTTGCCTTTCCCAGTTAGTCCTAATTAAACTATCTTAATTTTTCTTAAGGGAAAACAAAAGAAAAGCTACTCTGTCTTTTGTCTGGAAGGAGGCGATTACCTGAATCTCTGCCCTGGGGCTTCACCATGCGGCCAAGGGGTCTTTCTGACCTGCACTTGAGTGACGGGCCCTTGGCCCCAGGCAGACCTCCCTGGGCTGTAGCCCTCACTGTCGGTGATGGCAACCACCAGAGAAAGAGAAGGAATTCTTGTTCCCGGTTGATACGGCTTGGATCTCTGTCCCCACCCAAATCTCCTGTCACATTGTCGTCCCCAGTGCTGAGGTGGGCCTGGTGGGAGGTGACTGGATCACGTGGGAGGATTTCCCTCTCTGCACTGCTCTCCTACGGTGAGATCTGGTTGTTTAAAGTGTGTGGCACCCCGCCACTCCCCACTGCTCCGGCCGTGTAAGGCATGCTTGCTTCCCCTTTGCCTTGTAACATGATTGAAAGTTTCCTGAGGCCTCCCAGAAGCCTCCTGTGCAGCCTGCAGAACCACGAGCCAATTAAACCTCTTTATCAACTACCCAGTCTCAGGTGTTTCTTTATAGAAATGTGAGAATGGATTAATACACCAGCGTTAACATTTGAGGAGCAAGAGGCCATTCCCAGACTCTTAGCAGACTTATCTTCTGCCTCATCAGTTAGAAACAGGCTAAATTGAGGGGATGTGATCACAAGATCCATGTGGTCCGTCAGAAGTTACCTCTGCAGCTGAGGGTGAAGTGAGGACCCAAATAAAATCATGGCTCTATTAGCAAGGAAGAAGGTTCCCTGCTGCATGGACTTTTCAAGGTCACGTGCAGAGCTAAGGGATTCTGAGGATCATGTGTTTGTTGCAGTTTACAGTACTGAAGTTGGCATGTGGTGTGTGGGTGGGTGGCGTATAAGTTTGTGGTGTGTAGGCACGTGGTTTTAGGCAGGTGGTTTTACGCATGTGGAGAGTGGACACATGGTGTGTAGGCACATGGTGGGTAGGCACGTGGAGGGTAAGCATGTGGAACATGGGCAGGTGGAGGGTGGGTATGTGGTGGGTAGGCATGTGGTGGGTAGGCACGTGGAAGGAGGGTATGTGGTGGGTAGGCATGCAGAGGGTGGGTATGTGGTGGGTAAGCATGTGGAGGGTGGGTATGTGGAGGGTAGGCACGTGGAAAGTAGGCACATGGGGGGTGAGCATGTGGCACAGAGGCATGTGGAGGGTGGGTATGTGGTGGCTAGGCATGTGGTGGGTAGGCACGTGGAAGGAGGGTATGTCGTGGGTAGGCTTGCAGAGGGTGCGTATGTGGTGGGTAAGCATGTGGAGGGTGGGTACGTGGTGGTGGGAAGACATGTGGAGGGTGGGTATGTGGTGGGTATGCACGTGGTGGGTAGGCATGTGGAGGGAGGGTATGTGGTAGGTAGGCTCCTGGAGGGTGCACATGTGATGGGTAGGCACATGGAGGGTGGGTATGTAGTAGGTAGGTATGTGGAAGATGAGTATGTGGCGGGAAGGCGCATGGTGGGTAGGCACGTGGAGGGGAGGCGCATGGTGGGCAGGCACGTGGAGGGCAGGTGCGTGGTGGGCAGGCGCGTGGAGGGCAGGCGCATGGTGGGCAGGCACGTGGAGGGCAGGTGCGTGGAGGGCAGGCGCGTGGTGGGCAGGTGCGTGGAGGGCAGGCGCGTGGAGGGCAGGCGCGTGGTGGGTAGCTGCATGGAGGGGAGGTGCGTGGTGGGTAGGTGCGTGGTGGGCAGGCACGTGGAGGATGAGTATGTGAGGGTAGGCATGTGGAGGGTAGACACATGCATAGGCACGTGGTGAGTAGGTATGTGGTATCAGACGTGGAGGGTAGACGTGGCATATAGGCAGGTGGCATGTGCTGTGCTGGAGAAGACATGCCCCTGTTCTAACCCCTTAGTCATTTGAGCCCAACTGGACAGAAACCAAGGGCCAACCACAGAGAAAGCCACCTGCTAGGGAAAGTTACTGTAATCATTTATCATCCTGGGAAATTGATCAGGGGACACTTTATCCATATGTTAAGACAACTTAGAACAGATTAATTGGAGGGGAAAGAAAAGCAGGCGGAGACTCAGCAGCTCAGTGGACATTTCTGGAGAATAATGCTGGAGACCATGTGTCTGCTGAGCCAGGAGACGTCATGATCTCGCTCAGGGAGCAGGCAGAGGTCCCAGGTGGAGAGGCCTGGGTATGGCCAGGATTCCCCCACTCCCTGCCCAGCCTAGAGGTGATGATGGTTTCAGGTGAGCCACCCAAAATCACTGATATTATCCCATACCTTCTTTGACTTACAAAAGTGGCAGTGTTACGTGGTTCAACCTAACATTTAATGAAGAAATGGAGAGAGAGGAGCAGCTCCAATGGAAATGAATGCTAAATATTTCAAAATGCTTTGTGTTACCAGGAATCTGGCCAGGAGGAATACTGCTCCCAAAATAGGGCTTCCTACCCTCATCTCCTGCCCTCCCTGCTCCTTTTTCTACCTCCGTTCAACCCTGCCAACCTCTCTCGTGTCTCATTGGATCATGGTGAAGGGCCGGGTCCTGGAGCCAGCAGTGGGGATGGCGGCCTCTGGATTCCTCGCCTCCTTGGCTATCGGGGAGGCAGATGTCCACAGCGGGCCTGCTCTGTGTGTCTTTCTGGGCTGTTCCTGGAGGGAGGAGCGACCAGCATATGCCAACCCCTCCAGCCCTTACAGAAGCTTGACCATGGCTAAATCCCCTGTATTGGACTCTTCCTGCTCACAAGAACTGGTGAGGTTTCTGATACTGATCAGGTGTGTCTGATCCTGACTGATAAGCGAGAATAGAAGGGTAAACGAATTTTCCATCTTCTTTCCCTAAGACAAGCTTCACCAGTCATAGATTTCTGAAGTGCCACAATAACACAAGCAGAGTGAAAAGCTACCTTAAAAGTCTCCTGGGAACACATCTAAAACTAGAACCACCATGAGGAGTCTCACAGGCTAACGTTTTCATCTAGATGAGAATGTAACTGCCATTAACTTCAGTGAAATCACAAAAAGAAGAAAATGTCTACATTCTCTACAGAACAGATGTGGAAGAATGCTGAAGGATGCACAAATGTACCTGGTGCATTTTTGTATGTATAAAATGCTGGTACAAATATGCATTTTGTAATTCAAACGTATACCAAAAGGTCACCTCATGATTTCACAGAGACTCGTTGAAATCACCTTAATTAAGCAGCTGAAATAAAATGTGACAGTTTCCTATAACCCAGGTATTCACCATTTCAGGAGTGTTTATCGAATGTACTTATAGACACAATATTGCTTCAGAAGTGAGAAGCCCGCCTTTCCGTAGGGCTTTGCTAACATATAAGTGGCAGGAATTACATTGAATATTTACATGAGTTTTCTCATCTAATCATGTCAACAGCCCCACGGTGAGGAAAGTGGCACACAGAGAGGTTCAGTGACTTGCCCAAGGACACACAGTTTGCAAGGGGAATAGCTGGGACTGGCTTGCCCAGTCCTTCCAAGGGTGCTGGGCGCCATCTTTTCTAATCTGCCTGCCTGTTGTGAGGTCCCCAGGCCTGCAGATTTGGACTCTTTTACATTTCCACCTCCTGAATTTATCTCTGGCTGGTGTTCTCTCAGGTTGGGAATCTCACAGTCCAAAATGCTTTTTGGACCATTACTCCTTTATTTTACTTGAATTTTAGAAATTAGCAGGGTAAAACAGATTTATTTTCTTAACCATCGCCAGCGTTGCGGTCCCAACACACCGTGACACAGCTCAGAGCCACGCTGGGTCTTCAGGTGAACTCAGAGCTCCTTTCCCATCCATCAAGGTCCCAGTGAAACTGAACCGTGTCGCTGTCTGCCATGGTGACTTTAGAATCGGGGCCAGCAGCTGCCAAGTGTCCTGGTCGTGTTAGGGGAGCATCTTCCTGGAAGACTGGAGTCCAGGGCCATGGCCTGAGGGTGACAGGAGCAAATGGCCTAAATTTTCCTTTACACATTCTGAAATAGACATGTACATGGAACAGAAGTAGCAGACTCTATGCATTTTTGTTTTTTGAGACAGAGTTTTACTCTTGCTGCCCAGGCTGGAGTGCAATGGCATGATCTCGGCTCACTGCAACCGCCACCTCCCAGGTTCAAGTTATTCTCCTGCTTCAGCCTCCTGAGTAGCTGGAATTATAGGCATGCACCACCACACCTGGCTAATTTTGTATTTTTAATAGAGACGGGGTTTCTCCATGTTGGACAGGCTGGTCTTGAACTCCCGATCTCAGGTGATCTGCCCGCCTCAGCCTCCCAAAATGCTGGGATTACAGGCATGAGCCCTGTGCCTGGCTGACTCTACATATTTTTACAGCTTAGATCACGTTCAGAAGAAATGTGGTAGGGCTGCCAAACGGTAGGGATTTTGAACCATTATCTGCTTCCTGCATTTGACTGGCTGAAGGCCAGGCTTTGACCCAGTCTCATGGACACTGCGTGCTAGGCCCTTCCACCCTCTGTGGTCACCCACCCCCATTAGGAAAAACCCTGGCTCACTCTTTCTGAGCTCACTTACCTTTCGTCTGCAGGGTACCTGGGATCTTTGCAGAGCAGGGCATTTTCCTTGAGTGAATAATGAAGAAATGCCCCTGACAGTAGGCCACAGTGAACCGGGCCACACCTGTGTCTCCCATGAGGCCTGGAGCATCTCCAGGTGAATCGCGTCTCCCTGGAGCATGGCAGCCTCCGGGAACACAGGAGCTCTTCGGTCATTTCCCCCTCGTTTGCTTAGGTGGGTTTATTGTTTTCCACCACTACTTCCTTAACTTAGAATCGGACTTATTTGGCAATGGTTTGAGAATATCCTCCCACCGTCTCTCCTGCTTGGTGATGAATTCACGTTCCACCCTCCTCTAGCTGAGGCCAGCACTCCCTCCAGGCCCCTCACAGCACCCCATCTCTGCCCACTGGTGATGCTGGCCGTAGTGTTCGGCCACGATTCTTCTGCTTTCCTCTAGTGTCCAGACAGCGAGCTCCAGCGTACTCCAGAGGTGTCTGCTGGAGTGAATTGAATGATTTCATTCAAGCCTCTAAACCACCCAGCAAGTAGGTGGATCCCTGGCTAAGGTGGAGAAGCTGACTCAGCAATGTTCAGTGCCCGCATGTAAGCGTCATGGCATCGGGGATGGAGCCGGGATGTACACCTGCAGCCTCCCAAATCTCAGGTGCCGGGCAGCTTTCTTATTGTTCTTTGGCTCATTTGACCACATTGCACCTGTCTTTTGAGACTGGGCCAGGTGCTTTTAGGAGAACCTATTCCAACACCATTCTCACTGATTTGAAGGAGTTTCCAGCACACCCTGAGGATGTGGATGGCAATGGGCAAATGGGCAGCCTGTTTTCAAGGCCATCATTGGAGCTGTCAAAATGTCAGCCTCCTGTTCATGGGAGAGGGGTCATCCTCAGGCCTTGGACCAGGCTTCTCTCCTTCTGTGGTCCCCACAGCATTGGGAGGGTGCCTGGTTACCATGACAACCTCTTCCCACATGGCAGTCCCAAGCCACAGTCCCACAGGGGTGCATTCCAGTGACCAAGCCCACAGCAGCCTGTCTGCTCTCCATAAATAAGGGAGGCTGGGAAGTGTAGGACTTGAGATTTTGTGTCAGAGGGCAAGATGGGCACCAGGAGCAGCAGCACAAATGGGCAGCACGTGTGGATGATGCGGAATTGCCAGCGAGCGATGACAGATGCCCTCTCTGCTACAAGTCCTTCTTCCTCTCCCCTTTTGTCTTCATCTAAACAAACATGAGGATTTTGGGGACTCTTCTTGCAATCGGTGTTCAGATGGTCTCTGCAGCACTGTCCCTGAACACTGGGCAGGACAGAGCAGGGAACATCTTGGCTTCCCAGGTGCCGACGTGCAGGAAGCAGATGCTGCAGCTCCAGGGCTCCAGGCTGCTGCGGGGAAGGTGGGAGGACCCAGGAAGAGCTCACAGAAAACCTCCCTGCTGGTTGTAGGCGGTGGTTCCAGAGAGGGGTGTGCTGGAAAATCAGAATGCGCCATGGGATGGAGATTAGCTTCTGTACATCGGGTCCGTTTTCAGCAGCCCCACATTTCTGTGAGTTCAAGCCGCCGGCACAGAATACAGAAGACTGTGTGGCTTAAAGAGCAGAAATTCATTTCTCACGGTTTCAGACCCCAAGAAGTCCAAGATCAAGGTGCCAGCAAGGTAGGTTTTATGCTGAGGGCTCTTCTCTTGTTATCAAACTGAACTGGGGTCGTGGCCAAACACGGACGTTGGGATTGCAGAGAGTTCTCTCCCTGAGTGAGGTATTCACTGCAGGGCGCCCAGCAGGAGAATCAGGCAGTTCATGCCTCAGGCCCGGCCTCCCTCAGGCTCATAGGTAAGGGTTTTGAAAGGAGGGGAACCTACAGGTGATGGCTAAAGTAATAAATCAAGACATAGGGGCTGTATTTTGGTTTGACCCAAAGAGGCAGGACATCTCCAAGAGTCAGAGGTAGATTAAAAACGTTTCTGATTTACGATTGGTTGAAGCGTAAAGGGATCAGCAGAAAAGAATGTGGAGTCCGGCCCATGGGCCCAGGCTGCTCAGGAAGAAGTTTAGAACAAAAAATGGAGGTGAAGTTTCCACATTCCCCCGAGTCTGAGGCCTAAGCACCAGCAGATCCACTTGGTGGGAGGCGGGCCTTCTGGAACAAGCAGATCCACTTGGTGGGGGGCGGGGCTTCTGGAACAAGCAGATCCACTTGGTGGGAGGCGGGGCTTCTGGAACAAGCAGATCCACTTGGTGGGAGGCAGGGCTTCTGGAACACAGCTCGGAGACATCTGCTCAGATGCCATCTTAGTTTCTCTAGGGATCCAGACACCTCCTGACTTCCCTGGTCACTGTTTTAAACTCTTGTTACCTTCTTCCTTATCAAGTTGCTCATTTACTTCTTGGGGCTAGCTGGAGGCCTGGAATTTCCCTTGAAGGAACTCCAGATTTTCCTTTATTTCAGTATTGGGGCCTGGCAGGTCCCAAAGAGGGGTCCCTGCTGCATCTCATTCTGGTTTGCTGTTTGCTCACATGACCTGTGCATGAACTTGGTGGGGGTGGAGGGGAGAGAGAGAGAGGCAAGGTCTCCGGTGTTTCTCCTTATGAGGGCACTAATCCCACCATGAAGGCCCCACCCTCATGACCTCATCTAACCCTCATTACCTCTCAAGTCCCTGTCTCCAGTACCATCACATTATGGGCTAGACTTCAACATGTGAATTTTGGTGGGACACAAACGTTCCATCCACAGCAGTCACGATGCTGATACGAATGCATTTTCTACATCCTCTGGGTCTAGACTGCCTGAGTTCAAGCCTGCCTCTGCCCCTTACAGACAGTGGGGTCTTAGACAAATCCCATGATCTCTCTAGACCTCAGTTTTCCTGTCTGTAAAATGGGTATGGTAAAAAATCCCCACCTTGGAATAAATAGTGCCAAATGAGGATTTGTTAACTGTAATATCTACTTCCACAGTCTTTCACAGGTTATAAAGTTCCCTAAGACCTTACGAGCCAAGCTGATACTGTCCCCTCTCCTTTCCTTAGGGAAACAAGAAGTCTGGCCCTGATAACCCTGCCCAGGCCAGAAGTCAGGGAGTGGCATTTTGGAGCGGTCGTGTGACCACGGAAAGCCTTGTCTGGAACAAGCATACCCAGAGAACTTGCACAGGCTCTACCCGGCATATTGGCAGTGACCCACATCCATGCTGTGTGCCTGTGTGCACTCCCACACACTGTACACAGCACACCCCCGCGTAACCATCTGGGGGCCTTGTACCACTCATCAGGATTCTGCCCCTCATCCCGATGGGCAGGGTTAAGGTTTTTGTGTGGTCTAGGCCCTCCCCACTCTTCTCCCCTTCCTGGTTCTGTGCTGTCTTTGACTTGTGATGTCCACGTGTGTGTCTGGCACTGGTTTGCGGTCCTGAGGCTGTGGGTCTCAGATGCAAACAGCTTGGGCATCTCCTGTGTGCAATGCTCAAAGTGGAATTCCCAAGAACTGAACTCCTATTACTTCTAATTTTATTTTTCTATAACTCTGTGCCTCATGGGAGCTGCAGGGAATATGGTTCTCTGGGTGACCTGCTGCAAATCAGCAGGACAGAGACTGGCTGGGAGACCTGGTTCCTGCGAGTGTCCCCTGCCCCTGCTCTGGGCCTGCACACAGGCTAAGTATTAAGAATCTTGTGGTTTTAGGAAGGAAAACTAACCCCAGTTACTTTCCTGGGGTTGCTGCAACAGATTACCACAAATTTAGTGGCTTAAAACAACACATTTGAGGTGAAACCCCATCTCTACTAAAAAAAAATACAAAAATTAGCTGGGCATGGTGGTGCACCCCTGTAGTCCCAGCTACTCAGGAGGCTGAGGCAGGAGAATTGTTTGAACCCAGAAGGTGGAGGTTGCGGTGAGCCAAGATCATGCCATTGCACTCCAGTCTGGGTAACAAGAGTGAAACTCCATCTCAAAAAAAAAAAAAAACAAAAAACAAAAACAAAAACAAAGAAAAACATTTATTTTTGTACAATTCTGGAGATCAGAAGTCCAAAATCAGCCTCAGTGGGCTGAAGGTGCTAGCAGGGCTGGTCCTTCTGAAGGCTCTGGGGAGAAGCTGTGTCCTGACCTGTCCCTGGCCTTGTGGCTCCTGTGTGTCTGGGCTCCCCACCTGTCCCAGCCCCTGTGGCTCTTGCACACCCGGGCTCCCCACCTGTCCCTGTCCCTGTGGCTCCTACATGCCCAGGCTCCCCACCTGTCCCAGCCCCTGTGGCTCTTGTACACCCGGGCTCCCCACCTGTCCCTGTCCCTGTGGCTCCTACACGCCCAGGCTCCTAGCCCCTTCCTCGGTCTTTGCCACATCAGTGTGGTCCTTGCCCCCTGCATCCTCTGTGGTCAGGCTGCTGCCTCTGTCTCTGCCTCTCATAAGGACCCTTGTGGTGACCTTGGGCCCACCTGGCTCACGTCCCCATATCAGAATCCTGAACCTAACGGTATCTGCAAAGACCTCTTTGTCATGTAAGGCAGTGTACTCACAGGTTCTGGAGATTAGGACGTGGACATCTTGGGGGGGCCACTGTTGTGTCTGCCACCAACTGGCAGGCTATGTCTCTTCCCATGTTCAATGTGTGCAGATGCTGCCCATGTGCCAGCACTGGGCAGGGCTCCCTGTGGGGCCTTCTATTTCATCCTTACAGCAACCCCACGAGGTGGGGGCACTCCAGGCTTGAGGTTGGGGATCGCTGATCAAGGAGCTAAGGTTTAGGCAGGTCAGCTCCCTGAGGCCACATGGGTTCCAAGGGGTAAAGCCAGGACTCAGAGGCGCAGCGTGGTCTGTTTAACTGTCAGCTCCTAACTGTGCTCCAGCCCCTCCTCCCAGCCACCCCACAACATATTCTGCCGGAAGTTTGCTGTGCCAGGCTGCTGCCCTTCTCCTCCCTCTGGGGTCCCATGTCACCTGTGCCCCATGCCTACACCTCAGATGTGCGTTAGTCATCTGTGCTGTGTGACAAATGGCCTCAGACACAGCAGCTCACAGCAGCACCTCCTCACCATCCCACAGCTCTGTAGGAAGAAGTCAGTGGCTTCACTGGGCTTCTCTGATCTCACAGAAGTCCGTGGCTTCAGTGGGCTTCTCTGATCTCACAGAAGTCCGTGGCTTCAGTGGGCTTCTCTGATCTCACAAGGTGGGAGTCAAGGTGTCGGCTGGGCTGGGCTCTTCTTGGGTGCTAGGGAAGAATCTCCTCCCAGGCACACTTAGGTGCTGGCCAGGACTCAGTTCTTGGTGACTCGGGTTCCCGTGTTAAGTTAGCCAGGGGCTGCTCTCAGACTGGGGACCCCTGTGTTTCTCACCATGGGTCCCCTCTGTCTTCAAAACCGACAATGACACATTAACACAGTAAGGTGTGGAATCTGGCTGACTTCACTTCTTCCACCAGTTGGAGGAAATTCTCTGCTATTCAAGGGTTCATGTGGCTAGGTCAGGTGCAAGGGGATAATCTCTCATTTGCCATATAAACTAACAGGGTCACAGGAGCTCCATTTCATATCTCCCGCCAGGGGAAACTCACGGGTTGGTGGTTGCATTGGAATTCTGCCCACTTGGGCAGTCTGTGTCCTCTAATTCATCTCATTTCAGTTCCTAGTGCTGGGCTCTGTCCCTCTATGCAGTGTGACACCTGGCTTTGGAGGCCGGAGGGAAATGGCCATGGAGACAGAAGAGCATGTCTCCTGTGCTGGACAGGGGAGGAGTGCCGAGAGCAGTGAGAGCCAGAGAGGCTGTGGAGTTCAGAGCTGGCTTGAAAGGATGATCTTAAAACTTCTGTGAATTCTCCTAGAAGATTTCTGTGGAATCTGTGTCTCATCATTCTTTCCATAGTATATCTAAGTCTGCATTTTACCAGTTCCTCAAAATATTCTGTTGGTCCCCTGTAGGGAAAATTTTCTAGCCGTGTGACCAACGAACGGCTCTGTGGTTCAGTTTCCCCACTGGTAAAATATGGATGATCACTGTGTCTACCTCATAAGGTTGTTTAAGGGTTAAATAGAGCAAATGCAGGCTCGTGCTTAGAACACAGAAGCACATGTCTACAGAACGCGGTGCCGGCAGTGACACCCAGGCCCTCCCCACTCTTCTCCCCTCCCTGGTTCTGGTGCTTTGACCTTGGTGTCCACTTGTGTGTCTGGCACTGGTTTGCGGTCCTGAGGTGGGTCTGAGGTGCTAACACAGGTGTCAGTGATAGGGTCACTGAAACTATGTTGCTCAAAACAGGGTATCAGTGTTGCTTCAACACTGAGAGTTTTCTATGACCATGATTAGTGATGGCTCAACTTGCCTTGGAAAGTTTCTGGACTAACAATTTTTTGGCTGTGTTAGAATGTGGAGAAATGATAAACCTGGGTGTTTACTGAAATCATAATTGTCATGTGTGGGTGACTGTGTGTTTATTTAGGTGCGTATATGTGTGCATATATGTGTATAGCTGTGCCTGTGTATATGTGTATGCATGTATATATTTGTGTGTTCATGTGTAAGATTGTATATGTGCATATGTGCGTGTACATGTTAATGTGTATGTGCGTGCATCTATAGGCTTGTGTGTATGTGTGTACATTTGCATAGATATGTGTATGTGATGTATGTGTGTCTGTGTGTGTAAACCTGGTCCCTTATGTAAGTTCTTCTGTCCCACTCCTCCTCAGGGTTGGATCGTCTTGCTAAGGGCCTTGGTGAGTCTTACACATTTTTATGAAAATGTGTCCACTCAATCTTGCTCATTTGACTAGATTACTTAATTTTTGACCATACAGAGAGAATGTCTACCCACCAGGTTCTGAGCTGAGCTGAGAACCCTGAAGCATCAGTCGTTCGCCCTGAGTGAGAGGAAGGGCATTTGTGCCAGGCGTTTGGAGGGCGCACGGAACCTCCATTCTTTGGGGTATGTTGGGCTGAGTCTCTGAGGTTTGGAATGTGCCTCACTTTGCAGACATCTGCGAATCTGCGCTTGCTGAATTGTGCTTGGTGCTGATTGCCTGTGGGGTTGGTGAGGAAAACGCCGTGAGATCCCCAGGCCTGCGTTTGCTCTAAAGGATTTTCTGCCATGATAATCAGTGCTGCTTATGTGACATTCTCAGGGCAAACTGCTTTCTAGCTCTGTGATTTGGGAAAACGTTTTGCTTTTTTTAAGGAGCTGGATTATTCTACGTTTGACAGTTAATTTTCTTTTTTCTTTTTTAAGTTTTTCTGAGACGGTCCTACTCTGCTGCCCAGCAGGAGCGCATCGTTGCAATCTCAGCTCACTGCAACCTCCACCTCTGCATGGTTAATCTTCTCACTGTTTTCGTTTTTGCTTTTTCCATTAGGAGCTCAGAGTAAAAATTTATGTTTCAGGTTTAGAAACTGGGTGAGACCTGAGAGTTGGGCCTTCAGCCTTACCCTTAGACTGGATTTTCTATGCTGATGTGGATCTTCCATGATCTTGCACTTTAATCTTTTATTAACATTTCCCATGTGTGTGCTAGTCCGGTCCACAAGCCTTCATGGGAACAGGTCACCAGCAAAGGATGAACATTTAAAAACTCTGTGAGTTTTGCTTATAGGCCGGTGGAGGGCAGGGAAGGCACAGAGGCGGGGCTGTGGGCCCATAGCTGGAGAAATGGGGGTCATAGTGCGGGCTCAGGAGCTGGGTACCCGCACCCGGGCACCCAGTGCACACAGAGGCTGGGGGTTCCCAGCTGGCGAGATGGTGGATTATAGTGCGGGTTCAGGAGCTGGGTACCCGCACCTAGTGCACACAGAGGCTGGGGGTCCCCAGCTGGAGAGATGGTGGATTATAGTGCGGATTCAGGAGCTAGGTACCCACACCCAGGCACTCAGTGCCCACAGAGGCTGAAATTAACAGTGACTGGTCAGGTCTGGGAAGGAGCTCGTGCTGGCACTTTGGGTCCTGCCTTTTCACAGCTCCACACACGCACTGGCTGAGTCACCCGGGCACCTCGCCTCACCTCTTTGAGCTTCAGTCTTCTTCTCTACAAAATGAAACGAGTAATAGAGTTAGCTCCATGGAGGATTGTGTGTTTTAAATGAGACCAGTTTTTAGGTGTGGGCCTGGCACCACTATTATTTCTAGTAGTAGTAAAATCAGAAGGCCTGGAAATTGTGTGCAAATGGAGAGTGGGGAATACTGGAGCAGAGCTTGACTTTTGAGCTTACGGTGAGTATTCCTTACTCACCAGGTGTGGGAGGCAGAATTCTAATACGGCCTTCGAGATTTCCCACTCTAATCCCCAAGACTTCGAAGACTGGATTCACTGATGCAGGTGTAATTAGGGTTACTGCTGTGGTCTGAATGAGTCCCCCAAAATTCATATGTCGAAACTTAATCATGCAAGTGAGAGCATTGAGAGGTGGGGGCCATGAATGAGATTAGCATCCTTATGAAAGAGGCTGAAGGGAGCACCATAGGCTCGTTCCCCCTTTGTCTTCTGCCATGTGAGTCCATGGCGTCCATTCCCCCTGGAGCACACAGCAGCAGGTGTCATCTCAGAAGCAGACACGAGGCCCTCCTCGGACACTGAACCTGCTGGCACCTTGACCTTGGACTTCCCAACCTCCAGAACTGTGAGAAACGAGTTTCTCTTCTTTGTGAATCCGCAGTCTCAGGCACTGTGTTGCACAAGTGGACGGAGTCAGTTCCTAATCCTTTCACTTTAAAATAGCAGGTTACCCAGCAGGGCTGAGCTTCACCACACACCCATCATAGCAGAGGATATTCCTGAGCTGGTGGCGGAAGTGGAAGTTGGAGGGAGCCACGGGTGACAGAGCGTTTGTCACCAGCGAGCTGCTCCGTTCCTGACGGTGATGTGGAGGGGGTTGTGGGTCAGGACCTGAAAGCAGCCTTCAGGAGCTGAGAATAGTCCTTGGCTGATAGATGGGAGGAAACAGGGACTTCAGTCCTGGAACCACAAGGAACTGAATTTTGCCACAACCTGGATGAGGCTGGAAACTGATCTTCCCTGGAGCCTCCATCCCGGTACAGCGGGGCTGATGCCGGTTCCAGCTTGTGTCAGCAAAGGCAGAGATCCCAGCCAAGCCCACCAGGACTTCCGAGCTGCAGAGCTGCGTGGTGGCGAATGGGTGCTATTTAAAGCTGCTAAATGTGTGGCATTACACAGCTAGCTACAGATGGCTAATACATTGGGTCACTACTACACGGTACTGTCCACCTTCCAGGCACCACCAAAAGGGTTGCTGGGCATGGGGGATGCACCACACAGTGGCTCCCTGTCAGCCTCTGGAGGCCTGTTGGTGGCTGCCCCCCCGCCTGTGGGCACGGGACAGAGCGCACGTCCCTTGCTTCTCCAGCGATGCGGTGACTGGCAGCTCTTGGACCAGGGGCTCCAGGTCGCAGATGTCACCCAGTGGGAAAGACATGCCTGTGCTTGAAAGAGCATCTGGTGGCCTGTGGGACCCACTGGGAGAAGGACGGCTCCTCAAGCACCTTCTGACTCATCGGCCACTTCTCCCTGGAGGACAAGATGTGACCCAGAAGGCGACACAAAGGCAGCCAGCTCCAGGGACAGAAGGTCCTTGTGATCGTTCTTTAATTCAGCTTTCACTTTGATTGGTGAAATGTCTGAGGCTTAAACCCAAGACTGCAAACCTAATAGGAATTCTGTTCGCTTCATGAGTCAAGATAATTGTGCTTTGAAAAATGTTTTCAACATAACATTAATTTCGACCTTTACGTAAAGACTGACATAAGCGTGTTTTTAAAATGGATATTCATGCATGACGCAGTTTCCATGATCAGCTTATCAGATTTCCCGAGCTGCTGCAGCGTGGCAGTTTAGGTGTTTAAAATAAGCAATCACTTATTTTTATGCTCTTGTAGGGACAAGTTATGGTGATTGAATGGGATTTCCTTTTTCTTTTTTTTTCTCTACAGGAGCCTCAAGAGCAAAGGCCGCCGGAGAGGCAGTTCCCTGATGTGGGTTCCTCTGCCCAGGACTCAACCTGGTTGAGGTTGACTGAAAACAGAGCAAGAGAGGTCCTTGCCCACCTCGGGTCCTCTCTATGCCCTCTTCCTGATGGGATCCATGAAAGGGACTGGCTGCACACTTCTATTTCCTAGGATTTAAGATCCTTTGTGTGAAATATTTAAAAAACCAGGTTGTGGTTTATCCATTAATTCTGGCTGGATCCCACTGGATTCCTGTTACCTCGTGGGACATTTTTCCTCCCCTGGCAAGCAGGTTGTGGGGCCAGTCTCTTCACCCAAGTCATGGTGACAAAGGAGCCGTAGCCAGATGCTGCCACAAGGATTAACCAAAGAGAGTTTCATAAAATTGAGGTAGAATTCATACAACATAACACTATTTTAACAATTTTGAAGTGTAGGAAACAGTGGCTTTTAGTACATCCAAAATGCTGTGTGACCATCGCCATGTAACTTCAGAACGTTTTCATCATCCAGGAAAGAATCTCTGCCCAATTAGCAGTGACATCCCAGTCCCGCCTCCCCTGCCACCTGCCACCTGCCACCAGGGATCCGCTTTCTGTCTCTGTGGCTTTGCCTGGTCCGGGCGTTTCATAGACTACATCAAACAGGCAGTGCCATTGTGTCTGGCTTCTTTCACCGAGCACAGTGTTCCCAGGTCCGTTGCGTGTCAGCATCAGGGATCACAGTTTCCTTCCCTTTCAGGTTCTGCTGCACGGATGGACCACATTTGGCTCAGCCATGTGTCCACTGGTGGCTGCTTTCTGGGCATGATGGCTAACAGTGATGTGAGCATTTGGGTACGTTTGTCTTTGACTCCCTGCAGAATTCTGGTGTGGACTGATTCTTGGGTCTCACTTGACCCGGCCTCCTCTGGTGAGTGCTTGCCAAGACTGTAATTCACTGATTGGCTATCCTGGGATTTGTTTTCCTCAGATGAGACTGTTTTTTGTTAAATATAATGGATAACCTAAAGGTGTCTTGAAGGGGCATGATACTGCAATATGCACCTTCCACCTCCTGGAGTCTTCCTGGGTTTTTTCTTGGTGAAGCTCCCTTCCATGTGCAGGTGGGGTCTCCCTCTCTCTCTCTACCATGTTTTTCAAAGGATCCTCTGATGCTATGTCTGGATTTTCCTGCTACTCTCTCTATTTCCCGAAGACCCAGTCTTGTTCTCAGACGTATCAAAGCTTTGAGACTGGTATTTGAGGGATGAGATCAACTCCATTAATGCCTCAGGAATGAAAGATGCCAGGCCGGTCTCCTGAGAATACTCTGTTTTAGTAATCACGGCTTTATGCCATGTTATGCTGTATCAATCTGATCTTTTGCCTGGATGGCATTTGCTTTCAGTAAGATTGGTCTAGGGCTGAGGTGATTGCGAGCTGCATTGCTGGAAGAATGGGGACTGGAGGAAGATGGTGGTCCCTCGCCCCACTGCAGCTGTGGGTGCATCATCTCTTGGCCACTGCCCCCAGGTCAGTGTAAGCTCTCTCTCTGAGAAGGGCAATGAGGACTATGAAGAGACAGGAGCTATGGCTCTGCAACTTCAGCTAGAAACTCTGAATGATGCTGAGGACGCGCATTGCTCTTGTGAAGAGCAGAGTTGGTCCGGATTACAGCTGGGACCTCCCGTTTGCTTACAGGGTGGACGCCCAATCACTCACAGCCCTGCTGTTCAGGGCTCCTTGCTTTGTTCCCTGTGCCATGCCCTGCATGATGCCAGGACCATGGTGCCCGTGGGTTACCAATCTGCAAACATGAGAGACAGAGCTCAACAAAACCTCCTCTCCACGTCCGTGGAACACACAGGGCTGCCAAGTGTAACCCAGAGAACCACAGTGTGTGTCTCAAGGTCTCTGCAGGCAAGTGGCAGCTGGGTGGGTTTTTAGGTACCACTGGCTGCCCTCTTTACATGGTTATTTTTCTCTGGCCCTTTCTCTTTAAAATGTTGATCAACATGAATTGTTGAGTTTAGATGCATAAAATGTATATATAATGGAATCTGTCAGCTTTTCAGAAGGCAGCGTAGAGTCTCTGACTCTCCAATGGTGTTCCCCCTTCTCTGTGCGGTGTCTGCAGTTCCACAGAGCCATGGGGCTTGACTGTTGCTTCTTTTAGCAGCTCAAGGCCTTTGCCCCAACTTCCTGCTTACAGGGTGACTCAGCAGAGTCTCATGCTTTTAGCCTTCAACACGCTTCCTTGCTCACTTGTGGGTTCCTTCAACTGAGCTTCAGGAGATCCTAGAGTCAAGACAGTGCCATGATCAGTGAGTAGCCAAGTTACTCTCTCTCTCCGTCTCTCTCTCTCTCCCACTCTCCCTCTCTCTCTCTCCCTCTCTCCCTCTCTCCTTCTTTCTCTCTCCCACTCTCCCTCTCTCTCTCTCTCTCCCACTCTCCCTCTCTCTCTCTCCCACTCTCCCTCTCTCTCTCTCCCACTCTCCCTCTCTCTCTCTCCGTCTCTCCCTCTCTCTCCTTCTCTCTCTCTCCCACTCTCCCTCTCTCTCTCTTTCCCCCTCTCTCCCCCCCAGATACACACACACACACACACACACACACACACCTGCACACACAAACACGTTCACATGTCTGTGTGTGTGTATACACAGACTGAGTATCCCTCATCTGAAGTGCTTGGGACCAGGAGTCCTTGGGATCTCCAGTGTTTTCGGATTTGGGAATATGTGCACAATGCAATGAGCTATCTTGGGGAATGAGACTCACTTATGTCTAAACACAAAACTCACAATGTTCAGATACATCTTAAAATGTAGCCTGAAGGTAATTTTCTATAATATTTTAAATAATTTTGTGAATGAAACAAACTTTTGACTGCAACCTATCACATGAGGTCAGGTGTGGAATTTTCAGTGCCATGTTGATATTTAGGAAATTTTGGATTTCCAAGCATTTTAGATTTTAAATAGGCCCAGGCAAGGACTTCATGACTAAAATACCAAAAGCATTGGCAACAAAAACGTAATAGACAACTGGGATCTAATTAAACTCCAGAGCTTCTGCACAGCAAAAGAAACAATCATTAGAATGAACTGGCAACCAACAGGATGGGAAAAAATTTTGCAATCTACCCATCTGACAAAGGGCTGATATCCAGAATCTACAGAGAACTAAAGCATATTTACAAGAAAAAAACAAACCCATTCAAAAGTGGGTGAAGGATATGAACAGACACTTTTCAAAAGAAGACATTTATGAGGCCAACAAACATGAAAAAATGCTCATCATCACTGGTCATCAGAGAAATGCAAATCAAAACCACGTTGAGATACAATCTCATGACAGTTAGAATGGCAATCATTAAAAAATCTGGAGACAACAGATGCTGGAGACGATGTGGAGAAAAAGGAACACTTTTACACTGTTGGTGGGAGTGTAAATTAGTTCAGCCATTGTGGAAGACAGTGTGGCGATTCCTCAAGGACCTAGAAATAGAAATTCCATTGAACCCAGCAATCCCATTACTAGGTATATATGCAAAGGATTATAAATTGTTCTATTATAAGGACACATGCACACACATGTTCATAGCGGCACTGTTTACAATAGCAAAGACCTGGAACCAACCCAAATGCCTATCAATTATAGACTGAACAGGGGAAATGTGGCACATATACACCATGGAATACTATGCAGCCATAAAAAACTATGAGTTTGTGTCCTTTGTAGAGATGTGGATGGATCTAGAAACCATCATTCTTAGCAAACTGACACAAGAACAGAAAACCAAACACCACATGTTCTCACTCATAGGTGGGTGATGAACAATGAGAACACTTGGGCACAGGGAAGGGAACAACACTCACTGGCCTAGGTTGGGGGGTGGAGGGGAGGGGAGGGAGCAACAGCAGAGGGCGGGGAGCATGGGGCGGGATAACACAGGGAGGATACCTGATGTAGGCAACGGGGTGGCGGTGGGTGGGGGGGCAGTGATGGAGACAGCAAACCACCATGGCACGCATGTACCTCTGCACAATCCTGCAGGATGCAGGATGTCACATGACCCCAGAGTGCAAACTACAAAATAAAAAAAAGGAAGTGCTCCACCTGTTTATATAAGTGTGAAAACAAATTGCATTTGCTTTCAACCCCCTCTGAAGATATTAGAAAGGAGGAGAGAGAAGAGGAAAGCAGAGAGGGTCGCCCTTCAGAGGCCCGCCTGTAGCCTGGGCTCCGTGCAGCTCTGCCTGCTAATGGGATCCACCTCCACCTCAGGTCAGGAAAGTGCTGGCTCACACGTTCTTCAAGATTTTAGAGATAGAAGCATCCCAATGCATGTCCTGGAAAGCCTTTAAAATTCAAAGAAACCAAGCAAAGCTCTGGCTAATTAAATGTTTCCTGCTTACCGTCGTCAGCATTATTAATGAGACAGGTTAAATGTATTACTCATGGTGCGGAAGCTCCCCTTTCTGAGAGGATTTCTCCATGTGGCTTCCTGTTCATAGGGCTTTTACGTGGGGGTGGTGACATGGCAGAAAGCATCCCCAGGGCGAGAAGGGGACGGCAAGGTCCACATTGCTGTTCAGACCCCCTGGTCACCTGCCTTTGGGACAGCCACATCCCTGAGCCTTACCTTTCAAATGAGGGCGGGCCAGTTTCTAACGCTCCCATTTTGACATCTCAGACCCAGGGCCTGGGGCTAGAGCGCAGGTCCTCTCTCTGAAGTCACCATAGCGCTTCGGGGGCATCAGTCTTGCTATGCGTGTTTTGCACAGCCTTGGTTTCCAGTTATTATGGCTACAAAACAAGCCACCCCAAACTTAGTACAACAGCAGCCATTTTGCTGTGCTCATGCATTCTGTAGGTGAGGAATTTGGAAGGAGCCCAGGGTGTGGTGTGTCAGTTGGAAAGATTCAAGTCAGTGGTAGGTTCACTCATTTTCATGTCTGTGGCACACAAGGCCCCTGGGTGGCTGGGCTTCCTGGCAGCATGGCGTCCTAAGCCGCCTTCCATGAGGGCTTGCTCAGGGCTCCCAGCACAAGGGTTTCAGCCAAAAGGGTGGGTTCCATAGCCCCACATTGAATCATCTGTACCTGGCGAGGTCCTGACCCCCTTTCCACCAGGACCCTTCTCTGGTCCTCAGGGTCCTTTACTGTTTTTGCCCTTGGTTACGGTCTGCTGTGTATCTGTCCTGGAGTGCTGTGGTAAGGAGTGTGGTCTCGGGCTCAGACTGAA